GAAAGATAAAGTTTGTATCTTCTCAAATCTTCACTGATAAAATATCAAACATTAATAAATAAAGATTGATCATTGAAGTTTAAAAAACTTTATCTTTCTCTTTCTCTCTCTTGCTGTATTTATAACTCCAAGCTTGCTTTTTAATAATTCCTTTTTCTCTTTACATTGATATTTCTCTATATCATATCTTTCTTCTTCCCCTTTTCTCTCCCTCCCCACACTGTCTTCCTCCATTCTCTCGTTTTCTCTTTTGCTCGGGGTCCACGTAGGTAGTTCTCTACAATATCGTTACAAAACCTTTCATGAAGGATAAGGAGATAATACAATACTTTTCCACTGGCAATTTCTCTAATTCGATGTAATTTAAGAAAATGCGACTCATTCAATTTCAAGCCACTTTCGTTTAAAATATATTCCACTGTAAAGTATTGATTTGATTTGTCCTTCTCAGAAGAGAAGATGATAATTTTTCATCATTTTGGTCAACCAGACTATGAAGGGCCATCCGAGCCGTGAGTTTTCTTTGGCAGTGAGGGCAATTAGACCATAGGGGCCCGGGGGGGGGGGAGATTACTCACACATTACGATATACAGTGGTGTGCCGCTCTAATGGTTCACTTTTTCACCAACAATTCCTAAACAGCATGGGTCCCACTTTTAATAAAAATACCATTAAGAATAGGTCCGTTTTTTTTTCTCCAAAATTTGCAAAGTTCCGGTGTGCATGCAAACACCTGAAAAACACCCCAAAATTGTGAAAAGTTGGTCTTTTTTGAGAAAAATGACCACTAATAATGGGTAGGGGTTTCGAGGTTTGAGCGGCACACCCCCGTCCAAACCAAACCTGAGTATCCCCCCCCCCGGCATAGGGGCCATCATACCAAAGGCCGATGAGGGAATAGAATAGGGCAATATTTCATCCCATGACAATGTATTAATTTTCTTCAATTCGTGCAGATGTTTTTCAACATGAAGCAGCGGAACAGTATGGTCCAATCGGTGAATGTTACTAGCCTGGTGAACGGGAGCATCATAACAGGATTTGACATCGTGGCCTATCGTGGCCAAGGAGCCAATGCTGCTCAATTCGATGCAGATTTTCGGGCTTCGCTTACCAATGTCTTTTACCTTGTAGCGGCCTTCGACAACTCGAATCTCTCCCTTTTACTCGATTTAAGCAGCATCATGTTCTTTGGTGAGAATCTAGTTTCGCTTTTTTCTTTCATTTGAAGGGAATTGAAGGAGGGGCAAGGGGAGCGATTTGCCCGTACTGACTATTTTTTTTAAATTGAGAGAACAAACTTCAGGTTAGTATTAAGCACATTTGGAGATTATTTCAAAGATTATAGTCGTACGATTGCTATTGAAAACGCCCAGAAAAGTTGCTCGTGATAAAACAGTACTAGTATTTGTTCCGGGAGACACCCCCCCCCCCCCCCCACCCGTGCTGAAACAGATATGCATTTGAAATATACATGCATTATAACAAAAGCTATATGGTATTTTGCCCCTCCTGAGGCGAAGCTCCAATCATGATTGAAACGCTAACCCTATTTCAGAGCTGAATCAATAATTGTCACTTTATTTCATAATACAATGGTCACGATAGCGTGTATCTCGTCACTTTGAGGAATTTCCCGACATGGAGGCAGGCCTGCATGGAGGTGAGGGGGGGGGGGGTGGTTTGGTGTTCTGATTTGTTTGATATAGAGGGAGCAAAAAGATGCTAGCAAGTGGCAAGCGCGGCGTGAAATTTAGAGGTCTTATCGTCATTTCATTTTTCTCCATTGATCTTACTTTATATTTCTATTATTCTATCCATGAAGGAAAAGGAGCGTCCCCATTGGCTACTGATGTAATGCATACACATTACTTTGTTTGGATCAACATCTTTAGCATTTCAGCTTCGAAACATTTCCGGTTTGGGCGCTCCGATGTAATATTCCTTATATAGAAGCCACTTAAATGTTATATTCATTATGTAGAAAATACAGACATTTAAATATATATATATAATCTTCTCGTACGCTTAAAAAGAAACGGATGTGATAGATAAAAATACTGTCCTCTGTATAATTATCTAGAAACATGAGCTAAACGGACAGGAAAAATGTTGTATTTTTTCTTCATTCCTAGAAGTTCCTCATCATTCAATCATTCTTATTCTGAACAGATCAACCAACGTCAACACCACAAGCCGTTGTCCCAAGCACGACTATTCAACCTGGCACTACAGAGCGCAACCTCGGGTTGATCATCGGGTTGGTAGTGGGCGCCATTTTCTTTCTCATCGTCATCTTCCTCTGCGGTTGTCTGATGCTCATGGCGTTCGGTCGTCGCAACTACTTCGAGAAGGTACACGGTGCCCAGGCCTACGTGGACACACAAGATCCCCTCCTCTACCCTGACATCACCGCCATTAGACCCCGCGTGATCAAGGACGATGACAGCTTGACGCGATCGTCGGGCTCTGAGTTCAACAGGTCGAGTGAGCTCTTCGACGACGACAATGACAATGACAATCGAATTGATCACATGATGAGGGTCTTGGAGCACAGGAAGAACACAATACGGCGATATGTATGTTGGATTTATGTTCTTCATTTTTATATATCTTGTAAAGAATAACAAAGACTCTGTCTCTCCGTTTATTATAGAATGAGGAAGGTTGTAGTTTCATATAATGCACTATGACCCCCCCCCCCAAAAAAAAAAAAAAAAAAAACAGATTAGTGTAATCAATATAATGTCATAGATCAGTGATATAGTAACAATTATTGTCTCTGGAAATATTTAGGTATGAGTTGACATAAAATAATAAAAGTTATTAATGTAAATGTAGCATATCACTGTTGTATGCTTGTAAATATTGATTATAGGTCTCGATAAGAAGATAACAGTATAGCGATAAATAGTGAAATGAAGATGAAATGATAAAGATGGAGAATAATGGAAGATGACGAAGAACAAGAACAAGAAGAACAAGAAGAAGAGGAGGCTAAGATGAAAAAGAAGGAGGCGAACATGCCGGGGCTCGAACCCAAGACCTTCGCGTATGTAGTCGAGTGACGGTATAAACCACTCGACTACGGCACTTATATACTTCTTCTTTCACCTTCCATTCAGATTCCACACGCACATGTAAATGTAGGATACATTGCAGGAAGTATTGAAGGCTCCGAGTTCTCCGTCCCATACGTGGCTACAGGCGAAGAAGCAGCGGTAAGATCAATCATATAACATGATATATTTCATAAGAAATAAAAGAGGCGCGACAGCTCAGTCGGCAGAGCAGTGGTCTCGTAATCCGGCGAACCCGGGCTCGAATCCAACGCGATGCTAGAGCGCTTTCGGTCCTCTGGTACTCTTATCTATCACATTAAAACTATTTGACGCATGCAAATATATTTGTTTCAGTGTTGTCTCCATTGGCCCTAGAAAATAGAGATTAAAGGAAACCGAACCCCAAGTAATAACTTTACTTATTCTGAGAGATTTATTATGTTATTACCCATACATCTAAAAGATTCCCCATCAACGTGTATGAGAGAGGTATAAAGCAAAAATAAAGTACAGTTTCTCAGCACGACATGGGCATCGCCATTTTCTTGATAATGTGACGTACTATGCGAAGTCGTTTATCAAGTAAATGTATTCAAATTTATGGATGCTTCTTTTCCAGACGTGTGTGGTGATGAAGCATTTCATTCACCTGCTATTATCCTTTGTACTATAAATGCCAGAACGCAAATTGCATAAATTAGTTAGTGCTCTTCTAGGTTGAAGGTTTCTCATAAATGAAATAGATTTGTCAACTGTTATAGTGTAGTATTTATAAATTAATTTGTTACAATTGTGTCCCTGTTATTTATTTTTCACCTAATATAATTTCTATCATCTCAGTTGTTATTTTTTTTCATTGAAAAGTAAAGGTTTCGATATTGATTTAAAAATTCTTTCCAACTAAAGCTTGGTGCATGATACATGTACAACTTCAACAGATACGTCACATTTTTAAGAAAATGGCTGCGCCCATGTCATGCTGACAGGCGCACATTATGCCAGGAATATCTTCATTTATATATATCTTGTACATTTTCGTAAGGAATATTGTACATCAATGGGCAGGAATACATCTCATTTTTCAGAATACCTACACTTATTCTTTGGGTTTAAGTTTCCTTTAAGTAGATTTAATTAGATTGAGTAGATTAAGTTGATTTAAAAAACCGAAAGACCGAGACCGTACATGAAAAGTCAAGATCATCATAAAAAGAACTTAGAATTAGAACTATGATTGTTTGGAATAGATATAGCTAGATATAGATAGACGGCGCCATTCAAATGAATAAATCTATACCATCGTCATTATCAAAGAAAACAATGGAGAAGCCGGGTGGGCTATATAAAGGAAGAAATCTTAAATATAAAAATGATGAAAAGTTTTCAAATGACGTGGAAAATAATTCAAATGAAGCAAGATCATGGCCCCGTAACACAAGGCTAATTAGCAACTGATCGTATATTAATGTTGGGGAATGCTTGCACCTGATAATGATCAATGCAATCAGTCGCAAATATCAACTGTAAGTACAAGGCCCTGAACTAAAAGAAAGACGTTTCACGTGGTTTGATCATTAATCTTCATTTGCCACACTCGACCCAGGTGAGGTAAATGGGTAATCTGGCAAGAAGTAATTCCTTGAAATGATGGAGCGCTGTAATGGCAGCTAGTAGATAAAGCCAGGGTAATAATTAATGCGCCTCGGAATGGAATTTCTAGATAGATTTCTAGATAGCCGGCGCCATAGAAAATGATGCTTATAATTGTTATTATTACAATCGTATTGGATTCCCATTTTAGTCATACAACCAGCGTCGCCACCAGACATCTTCAGCAACACGTCCTACGCATGCTAGGGGATCTCGAGACGATGCAGGGGTCTCGTACAGGACACCTCAGCGGGTCTTCTCCTTCAACGACCAGGACAGGAACCGAATGACTCACCTGACCAGGGTGCTACAGAACGCGGGCAGGATACGGGAGGTAAGCTGATTGGTTGGTGGATGAAAGAGAGAGGGAGAAAGAGAGAGGGAGAGAGAGAGAGAGAGAGAGAGAGAGAAAGAGAGAGGGGGAGAGAAAGATAGAGAGAGAGAGAGAGGGGGAATGAGAGAGAGAGAGAGAGAGAGAGAGAGAGAGAGAGAGAGGCGTAAGTAATAAAGACACATTATAATGAAGAATGACATGCGAGAAGACAAGAGAGAAAGTAGGAGAGAGAGAGAGAGAGAGCTAGGAAAAGGAGGGAGGCGAGAAAAATGAAGGGAAGGAAAGAGAGAGGGAAAAGAAAATTAAATAGAGAGAGAGAGAAGGGGCAAGAAAGAGAAAGTGAGAAAGAGGGAGGGGAGGAAAAGAAGTAGAAATAGAAAGCGACCCGAAAAAGAAGAAGAAAAAGGGGAGAGAGAAAGAGAGAGAGAATATCCCACTCCTGCCACCCCCGACCACAATCTCATTTTCGTTCGTTCTCCATTCTCCCCCCCCCCCCCACCCCACTCTCTCTCTCTCTTTCCCTCTCTCTCCTTCTTCCCCTCTCTTATCTCCCCGGCCTCTGCCTCTCTCTCTCTCTCTCTCTCCTTTTTATATAGTTTGGTAATTTATTAAGATCTGATCTCGATTTATTCACATGCAGCTGCCATATGCCCATGCCCCTCCACGAGGATCATCAATTTATGGTACTACAGACGAGGATACCATGACGTCAAGCGATCAATTCACATTGCCCTACCTAGCAACAGGAGAAGAATCAGCAGTAAGTAGGCTAGAAATATTGTTTGGCAAATTATGGGAAGTTGAGGTATAACAAATCGAGGGTTCAGTGACACAAAGACGTAACTCCATATTTTGCCAAAATTAGTATTTGATATCAAAATGTTTAGAAAAATGTGGGCTTTCCAGGAAACACAAAGACTCAACTCCACCCAACACCCCATTGAAGTCGATGGCTAGTAAAACGTAGACTTAACTCCAAGTGCTCAGTGACACATGAACTACTTTTTCTCAAAATGGCCAAAAATAAGAGTTACGTCTTTGTGTCACTGAACCCTCGAAATGCTACTCTTCGGCTATCACGCCTTGGGATGCTGCACTAAAAAAATGGTAACCTCTATAGGAACAGGAAGATTTGGAAAATTTGTAGGGCAGGCATCGTAAGACTTTGTCTTGTGAGTCTACCTCTCACTGAAGTGGTACTCGTATATAGGGAAGAGCAAATGCAAAGGGGAAAAAAGAGAGGAAAGTGATGACATTTTTCTTTCACAAAGTCTGACAGAAAAACATGAAAAGTACTCCTCATTTAGTGGAGTCATTAATTGCTCAAACTTACAATTTCATTTCATTTGTCAGTGCACCCTGCGATCCAGGTTACTTTTGCATTAACATTTCCTCTTTTTTTTTTACAGGCGCCTACCCCGTATTCCTCCATCTCTTCCCACTAGCCTACCCATGCTGGGCAAAACGAAAATATAACGATACATGCTTGACATAATTATCATTTCACTATTTCTTTCTTTGCAGAGATTTGTCAGGGGAGCTGTACCACCCCCGTCTTACCACAGTGGTTTGGCCAATCCTCGCCGCAGGTCCCTTCGTGGCGGTTCAAACCATGCTCAAATGCCTGTCGAAGCATGGTTTTAATCAAAGGAGAAGCACCCAAGCCAATTTGTGATGGTCCTGGTGATGGTTAAATGCAAAGATTTCAACATTAAAATACCAAAGATAAGGGATACTAATTACGCGTTTGGGCAACTAGCTGTCAAACAGGATATTCGGAATCTCGCGGCTGCCCGAAACAGTTCTGTTTTTAAACTTTGTGAGCAAAGTGGGCGAGAATAAAGTCTGTATTATGTTTGAAATGTTATATGATCATGAAAATACACTACATACCGGTAATAAATTACTCAGAAACGTTGCTGCTCAAATACGCTATTTGGGCAGCTCGCCGCCCTAATATGCTCAAATATTGGAACTTAAAAAATCCTCATGCTGCGCAGCCTTCATCTTCCAGCTGCTTATATATGTAACTCTGGTTCCGATCTATCTTTACAGAGTTTGTTTTCAACTTTTTGACAAATCATCAGTTCGAGGGTTCAGTAACACAAAGACGTAACTCCATATCTTGCCAAAATGAGTATTTGATATCAAAATGTTCAGAAAAATGTGGGCTTTCCAGGAAACACAAAGACTTAACTCCATCCAACACCCCATTGAAGTCAGTCAATGGCTAGTGAAACATATAGATTTAAAGGTACTATGTCCCTTTTGCAGCCAACCTCAAATTCTGTAGAACTTTGCAGGAATTATTAATATGTCATGTATGTCCTATCTGTGAAATTTAAACGTTAGCAGTGTCCTCATATTCAAATTATGCAAGGAAACCCGTGTACTTGCTAGACTTCACTGTCAGACACTATTGAGTGACTGACTGGCTTTTTTTCTTCTTTGGTAATAACATACACGAAAAGAGTTGTAAAGGGTACATGAGCATTTGTCTACATCAATAACCCACTTCTTGTGATGGCCAAGATTAAACTGATTGAATCTTTGCGCAGCATAAAACGTATGACCATGGTGGTAGGGTCCATGGTACAATTGTCTGAAAATCAAGACTATTACTTTTGGGCTCTATAGCCCTAAAGTCAATTTGAAAACTAATAGTCGTTATTTTCCCACTTGAAGACATTTTCAAGCCCCACCTTTTTTAGGGAAGTGCTAAATTAGTATTATCTTTTAAATACAGTTTGAATTTAACTTTTTCATTTTTTTGGCCTGCAAATGGGACATAGTACCTTTAACTCCTCAAGGCCCAAGTGCTCAGTGACATACATAAACCACTTTTTTCAAAATGGAGTCACGTCTTTGTGTTACTGACCCCTCGAGTTGTATCAAAGCAACTTTGGTAAGACACCCTCATGTTTGAAATCTGTCGGTGACGGCCCTTGTGGTGGCTTTCTAATTGATTGGCCAAAGATGCAAACTTGATATAGTAACTGTGAAATGTCATGTTATTTATTTATTTATTTAAAGTATTCATTGGTCAATTTAAGAATTCTAGCATTGCTATAAAAAAGGGTGGGGTGAAATAATTTTTTTCTTTCTATCAGACCGTTTGGCAAATTTGGTCTATGCCCCCCCCCCCCCCCCCGCCCCCATCACCAATTCCTGGCAAAAGCATGATTGGAAATTTGCACTAATTTCTACATGCCTGATGTACCAATTTCATGGGGCAACAACCTCTCCCCCTCCCTGATCGAAGTTGTAATTGTCACTACAAATGCAGGCCCAGGTTTACAGTCTTTATAAACCAGGTCGCTGATCTTACATTCTTTTTCATATTGTCCAGAAACCTCGTGAGTCTTTCTCAGTGTATAATATATCCCAACTTAGTTGGCCACCCAATATTCAAATGTGCATCTTCTTTTTTTATCTTCATATATCAAATTGAAATCCAACTACCACAAACATCTGTGAATCTTTCCCTCTCTCTCTCTCTCTCTCTCTCTCTCTTTCCCCCCATTTACCAATATTTTTCCCTCCATATTTGTATTATTATTATTATGTATCCATTGAGGGTAGTCATGCTATCAAGCTTTGCTTTTTTTGTCAACCCTCCTGTTTGATGTTTTCGATTAGTTACAGCCAATAAATCAAATCAAATCAAACCTTTATATCAAAAAATCAAAAATATCATCTCCCGAGAGCAAGAAGGGTATTAGTGTTCACAGAGTTTTAATCCTTCAGGGGCCCGTTCCTAGAAGCCGTCATAAGTCTAACTTCTTGACTATCCCATTGAAACGCGTGTTAATCCTATAACACACGTTTCAATGGGATAGTCAAGAAGTTAGACTTATGACGGTTTCTAGGAACGGGGCCCTGGCTCTCCACAGGTCACAAGATATAAAGGACTAGAATACTAAACACAGTCGAGAACAACTTAATTGTTACCACTTTGAACATGTCAATATTTATTTTGGCTTATTTATAATACACCATACTACATGTAGTTACTGTATTAATTTGTTACTATATATAATAATATTTACACATATAAAGTACTCAGAATTGGATGTTTCTATGCGATGAATACATGGAAAAATAAACCCAAAGTTATACTTTTCATGTTTTCTTTAAGTATTCAGCTAGGAATCTTTAAAATCATTTAACAAGGAAGAAAAAGTTAAAATGCTAAAATATGACCAATGTTGATATTAATGCTAGCAAATCATCAAATGTTGTAAATGATACAAATGCTTTGTCACTACATACAGTAATGATGTTTATCAGTCATGTTATACTTGCATGCGGATAATAGAGCGAAATAGTTGGGCATTACATGTACATATATTAGGGGCATCTGCAGTCTTCATGCAATGCAGGTAGCCTCAGTGCGACAGTAGAGAGGGCTTCACAACTGTTTTAACATAGGAAACCTGGGACCCGTTTCACAAAGCCCTTTTTCAATGACAAATGACAAAAATCAGTGACAAATCTGCTGATAACCAATCAGAACCAAAGATTTCAGTAGCTTACAACAAAAACTGTCGTTTGTCACTGATGACAAGTTTTGTGAAACGCCCCCAAGGATGAACAGTTTCAGGGGGAAAATACAAGAAGTAATTACATTTGAACACAATTATAATTCAATATTGAAATGATTTGAATTATAATATATAATGCCTTCAATACCGGTAGGAAGTATTGGTTTATGATAGTATAATACTGACGTCACATAATTGAGTACTTTTATTAATGTTAGTAATTAAACAATTTTGCTCACCATAGAAATCAACAAAATCTTAGAGAAATCATGCATACATGCATAATTTATCTTAAAGCCTGTCTGCACTAGTTTAGCCAGGAGGGATTAGACCTCCATGCAAGGTCACCTACAGGTGGTTATCTCATCAAACAAGCTCTCAACTAACAGTGGGGCTTTAATAACAGATGCAGTAGTAAAAATGCAATTGAAATTGCAGTTGAAAATATATATCAAGTTATATAATGGCTCACAACTGTATTAATACAACAATAGAGGTAAGATTTGGAACGTTATGTTTTTCGTCCAGATAAAAAGAAAATATAATGCTTTCAACATAAAACACATCAGGAATGTAAGGGCATTTCAGACATTTCTGGTATGGTTTTTAAACAATTGATTTTTAGGAATGTAATCTGCAAAGAGTCATATAAAATATTTTTGACATATTGGCTCATGACAACAGCTTATATTACCTTTCCAACTTACATGTATATTTGACTCTGATGAAAATCAGCCATAACTATTTACCAAAATTTGTCATTGTCTTACATTTCATTTCATAAATGTATTTAGAAACAAAACAAATAAGTTTCTGTTGCACCAGAAGTGACGGTTCATTTTCAACTTACCAATCTTTTTTCACCCCTTTGCCATTCTACAGCAGACTTGTTGATGCCCATTTAAAATGTTGAACGTTACCTTCAATATTTTATTTAAGAAAATCTCAAGTTAAGAAATCAAAAAATGAGATTTCAAATATGATGACAAGTAATTATCCTTTTCAAATAATAGTAAAAGTGTTTTAAAAATGTATAAATACTTCTTGCTTTTACTGATTTCCAGCAAACATTTTCTCAAATGGTTAGTATCTATGGAATGGTAGATTTCTAAATACCTTTTGAATACCATAGAGCACATTTTATGATGGAGGAAGCTACATGTGCTCTATTCATCATGCATTTATGAAAGTAAATAACGCAACATTTGTATAGAACAGCAGCTGAAATTTGATATTAGTCTTTACACAGGTTAAAGTTTTAATATTGTATTGTGTATTTAAGTGTAGTCTAAGATTGAGTAAGAAAGAACAAAGAGACAAAGTCAAACAAAAACAGGGACAAGACAATGAAAAAGATTTTGAAACTGAAATACTTGTTTCCCTTCCCTTTTGATTTTTTAAAATATTGTTTGATTTTGACTTTCTGTCCGTTCTCGCAATTTACTCTGATAAGTGCGGGAGAAAAAGCTCCAGCAAGTCTTTGCTCAAAACCATGCTTTGCTTATGCAGTACCAATCATCTTTTATACACTATGTGTTTGCTGTAATAACTCGTCTGTTTGGCGCCAGAAGGGTGTTAACTCAAATACTTTAGCACCGAGTTAATGCCCTTTTGGCTCTAAACAGATGATATCATATGGATAAAGAAAAGATGGTACCGCAAAACAAACATGGTCACGAGTGCTCTAAAGAAATCAATGTTTCAAGACCTTTATTACCCATGGGCGACATGTATTGTGTTTGCATAAGAAGACCTTGTAATACTGTATTTGCACATTTCAATAACCGAGGCAAAGAGACCTTGCAACAGGTGTTTTTTGTTATCAGTAGTACCGAATGAAAAGATATTTTTTGAAACAGTGGTCTATAAAAAAAATATATAGCTAGTTGCTGTGCATAAATAAAAATATATATAAGCAACATATGGGAGTGGTTGTGTTTTTATTAATGGAGGGTTACATCAATTATATTGTTTCCATTTACGTTTTAAGATTCAAATAAGATTTTGTGTATGTTCACTTAAGGATGGACAATCGTTAATCAAATGCCAACCCAAACATGAGGTACAAATAATCCTGTTATTTCTGAAAGAACATAAAATGTGTATCTTCCCTTTAATTCTGTGAAGAATGTTGGATGGCTGAACACATTTAGCAACTACACATAGTATTCATCGAACATGGCAAATAAAAACTGCATTACAGAGAGTAAATTCTCTGTTTCATAGCAGCTCTAAATATCACTATAAATCTGATATATACATAAAACACAAAACTACTTTCTTTTCGCTGCCTATCAACTTCAATTTTTTTCTTTGCATATAATTTCTAGAAATCGCTAGTGTTTGGATCAACGAGGGTTGAATAAAGTTATGTTACATCCATGTACCACTAATGAGGTCGTCACGTCGCTAATGAGGTTTTGACATCACTACAAAACTGTCCATTTACAACTCAAATTAATAGCAAGCTAACAACTAAAAACTAAAGAAAAACAAAATCCATGAAATTGTATTAATTCTATGATCCAATTTTCATTATTGCATTGCACATTTCATATATAAGTTCATACATTGGAGGACACCATTGATAAATAATACACATTTCAAAATCGGTTTTAATTAATATGTATCATGGAATACGTTTTTCTAACATGTGACCATACAAATTTGAAAGCTTCTACACTCTGCCCTGTATGTTTTACTCGTCTTAAGTTCATGACAATACACATTTTTGAGGATATAGATTTACAACTCCCTAATAACTATTAAAGGTGTACCGTATTAATAACCATTTGCAAATAACATTAGTCTTTCTTCATTCTTTTTAACAAAACATATGCCCTACACACGTGTATAAGGAAGCTCAGATAAACCCCCTCCCCAAAAATACTTTGTCATAATATTACTAAAATCATAACTATTCCTGTAAACATTAAACAAAATTTAAATTTGTACAATACCCATGTAAGAGGTGATTGATTATGACTGTATTCACATATTCCAAGTGAACCATTCAAGAGATATTCAGCAATTTTTGTTGGCAAGCTCAGTTAAACGGATGAAGTTGATAATACTTAACATTCACTGTCTATTTCTTCAATGACAACAAAAATAATCAGTAAAAGAAAACAAGTCTTTATGTTTTTTTAAGTGTAGCATGTACCATATTTTAGGTTCAACTTTTCTCTTTTGGATGAAATTAAGGCAAATTATGACACTACCCACCCCCTCCAATGAATTAAATTAAAAAGACAATAGGGTTACTTCTTAAATCGATTTATAATCTGCAGAAGAATAGGACAAGACAAAGATTATTATTATTATTATTATTATTATTAGGCATTTAGCTACGCTATTCATAGTACACTATATCACAGCGCTTGTTATTCAGCCCTTTGAAAAAAAAGATTGTTTTTCTTTTGAAATAGCTCCAGCAATTCAAACTCAATGAATTCAAGAAGTTTGTTCATCATCAACATCATCATGCTCAAGTATTTATTATGTATAGAGTATATATATGGACAAACCCTGTTACAGTAGGTGTTGAAATCGTCCATTTCTCTGCTTTGCTCGACCTCTGAGAAAATATGGCAAGAAATACAACCACACCCTGAAGTGTGAAAGAACAATCGATGACTAGACAAGCCTTTGTCAAAGATGTGCCCAGCCCTTTGAAATAATGTGAGTAAAGTATTGAGAGAAAGATGACCTTGTGGTTCTGCTCTATTGAGCAATGCTTTATGAGTAGGGTTCGTGTTGTTCTATACTGTGCGAGTCAAAACAAAATTTACACTCAGAAAATTGTCATTTAAAGAGAAGGTTGAGTTATGGGAAGAGGTAAAAAAATAATTTGTGAGCGTTATCATTGTTATTATGCAAGGGTGGAAGAACATCAGATTAAACATGTTCCATGAAAAGCATGGCTCTTCAAATGCCTTCATATTCTAAATATGACATGAAACATCGTAAAAATCAGGGGGTAGGTTTTTTTTCACCATGTGCTTGTGTAGTCCCATATACATCATTCTGTGTACAGTGCTTGTAACTTTGCCAAGATTTGGCCAAATTTCTTATCATTTTGATGATTCCAGAACCTTGCAATACACACAAATACTTATATACTAGATGATCAACCTGTCCTGATAGATTCCACACCGTTTCTTTCACAATGCAATCACATGACCAGAACTCAACTTTATCTTTAATTTAAAAGTCAGCTATGAACAACCAGATAAGCCGTTTGGCGCAAGTCAATTTTTGCACTCTCTTAAACAATGTCTCCTGGTCACCCAACTGTGAACACACACCACACAAAAATAATACCAACTTATTCAGGATAAAACACTCTTTCATAAGGTGTATAATAATTATCTGTTCATAGATGATTTTTTATATAATTAGCAATTTTCTAGGTGTAATTTTTTTTTGGACTCACACTGTAGTGCAATTCATGGAAACTTGTAAGGTCTCAGTGTTATCTATTGTCAAGCTGTGACCTCCTTGGAAAACACATTGGACAACTAAATACTATGACCTCATTGTTATGGAAGTAATCGAAACAGAAGGGTTTGTGTTGATCTATAGTCCATTGTCATGGCAACTCGCCATGTTATCTATTGTCAAGTTGTGACCTCCTTGGAAAACACATTGGACAACTAAGTACTAATATTTAAAAGCACAGTAGATCATTGCTTAGTTGTTGTTTTCACATGAAAAGAAAAATACTATTGGTGTCATGTTTTGTAGTGATGATGCATGTTTGCTTTTCTTAACTGTGCACGATAGAATTCTTATAAGGGAAATTATTTTAAAATTGCAAGTATGCTTATGTCATGAAACCTTGACAAGACAAATGGTTAAATAGCATTTAGTGATAAAAATATGAATTTCTTGGGGTTTTCTTCTACCACTGATTGTTCAACTTGAATTTGTACTAGAAATGCCCGACTCATTTAAGCCTATCTGCACTAGTTTGGCCAGGAAGGATTAGACCTCCCAGCATGGTCACAGACAGGTGGTTATCTCATCAAATCAGCTCTCAATTAACATATAGCAAGCAATGCCTAAGCAGTGCCCATTGGTCCCCCATGGTTATGATTCCCCATTTTTCTTTTGTTAATTGAGAGCTGATTTGATGAGATAACCACCTGTCAGTGACCTTGCAGGTAGGTCTATTCCCTCCTGGCTAAACTAGTGCAGACAGGCGTTAAAGGCCCTATCCAATGAAAATGCAACGTTCTATCAATGGAAAGCTGCATGAATGTAGAAAACAAATATAAAGGAATACAAAATCATGTCCCTTTCAGAATAGCACAAAGCAAATAGCATATAATTGATATTATTGTAATCTATGTCTTATAAGCTTTCCATTGAGATACAATTCATCTATTCCAATTTTTACTTCCGACAGGGTCTTTAAGGTCAATTATTTTTTTCTAAATACGTTCACTTTTGTCATCACCTGACCTTTCTATCATATTTATTAAAATGTTCATGTAAATATTTTTAATACATGTATGAACACGTTTGTAGCAATGCAAAGCACAGAAACTACAGTTTATGGTGGAAAAAGCTTGTAACAGGTGACAATTCATAGTTCATGGTTACGCATCAAATATTCTCCATTTTGCAGCAGATATGTTACAACGGCAAAGCATGTATTAAAACACACCACATTATCATGAAAATTCGTACCAGCTAAATTGTATTAGTTATGACAATGGCAGAGCTACAGACTTGGAGATGGAGCAGGAATTGAAAATTGAAATTGAAATGGAGATGGAATTGAATGAACAGAAAGAAAGAAAAAAAGAGACAGAAAAAAAAAAAAAGAGACATAAAAGAGAGAGTATATCCTAAAAAAAGAAGAGGATGGATGAAAGGTCGATAAAACATGTATAGTGGTACAGTGAAACCTGTACATAAAGATCACTAGAAAAGGAAATTGGCCTTTATGTACAGGTTTCAGAGAGAACTGATTTTCAAGGAAAACAAAATGTGTGGTCTTTATAGATAAGTGGACCCTGGCAACAAGAGACTTTGAACTTATCAGGGGGTGTTTCACAAAAATCGTAATTCGAAATTAACTTAAGTCGGACATAAACATTATGGAGAGCCAATTGTAGCCTTATAATGAAATATATTCAAGAGCAAAAATTCAAGTATCTTAGACTTTTTATAAATTCCACTTCAAGAACATGAAATCTCCCATGATAATAGAAAATATGAACGATTTGAATCAACATTTTATGCCTTTTAAAATAACTTTTACAAAATATTTTCAAAGATGCTAACAGCTTTCCATAATTGTTAAGTCCAACTTAGAGATTAGAAGTTCAACTTAAGATCTTTGTGAAACACCCCCCAGTTCACACACCTTCAAAGTTCAAACTTTCAATTTGACACGTTTTAATGTTTGTCTGTGGACCGCCCTGCGACATGCAGGTAATACAAGTTTAATGGTTAATATTTCTGGGAACCGTTTCACAAAGCCTTTTTTCAATGACAAGTGACAAAATTCAGTGACAAGTCTGCTGATAACCAATCAGAAGCAAGGATTGCAGTAGCTTATAACAAAGACTGTCATTTGTCACTGATGACAGGTCTTGTGAAACGGGTCCCTGATCATTGCAGTGAAAACTAACACAGATTCAATCAGAGCCTGGTTGAAGCCTTACTTGAAGCCGAAATAGGATTAGGATTAGTTAGAATCAGAAAACGGATTAGTAAGAAAGCAATCTCAATCAACAGGGAGAACTAAATCTGCAAAACATTTGCCACTCTTCACCCAGGTGTTAAATGGGTACCCGGTAGGATGCGAAAGTTAGTGTTGTAAAAATGACACCCGGCTTGAATGCTCCCCAGGGAGTGAAGAATGTGCATACATTGTGTGTGGGTTAGCCTGAATCAGATGACCGGGGTAATAATATATATCTGTAAAGCGCATTGAGATGGCCTGCGGTACTGAAAAGCGCTATATAAGAATGAGCTATTATTATTATTATTATTATTGTAGACATATCCCTAAATAACTGATAAATGAAACAAAAATTATATGATATCCTAATGGTTAATAACTCCTATACCAAACCGAGGATAAATTGTGATGACAACCACTGGTAGTGTACATTACATGGAAATGAAACCGACTCCAAGGGAAGAACGTTTTAAACACTTTCAGAGAAGTGTAGAGGCTATGGTTTATATCAGTACATATCATAACATTTTACATACTATTTTGGACCAACAAAAGGCTTGTTTTTCTCTACCAATGAAATTCAAAATGGATTCAATGAATTGTGAATTGAATGTCATGGAACACTATTTGCAGTACATGTACAAGGAACAAGGATAAATGAAATATTAATGATAAACTTTGACCTCATCCAAACCCTCATTTCTTTCTCTTTTTCTCTCCATGTGGGAACTACAAAATGAAATATCAACCATTTTCTAACAGTAGTTCTAATAATTATTGTTAGTAGCAGATGAAAAACACATATTAAAAGGATGAAGAAATAAAACGCATATTGCTGCAAAGCCCAAAATTAAAAACTTATAGACATAACCTTTGGTTTTGGAAGGCAAGATAATGTTCTCATGCTTGGGCATTTATAATCCTGCATTGAGACAAAAAGTTAAACAAGGGAAGAGAAAACATCAAAGTTTGGTGTTAATACAAGATTTCTTCACTGGTGGAATACTACACTGCAAGTTCACTGTTAACAGAAGATAGCACACGTATGGCTTTACATTATTATTCTTGAGGAGGCCTTTAACACAGAGCCCAATGGCTTATTGTCATTTTATGATATCAAACAGTTTTATAATATCTATAACAATCATTTAAAATCACTTCAATTTGGAAATTTACAGGATTATAATAATCATTATGGTATGAGAAACCTAAAACAAGCTTGCTATGGAGTCACCTCCCACAAGAACAACAAAAATGTTATGTTTTTCGGGTTAGATAAAGGTATTTTAACATGGTATGTATGTGGATTCTGTTCCACCTCCTCCAAAGGCTCCATCCTGTTTCTTCTCTCGTTTCTCTCTCTCGATGACATGACCCTAAAATCTAATCAGTTCATTGGCTCTGCAAGATACATAAACATGTCTTGAGTTTGATTGTAATCTGTCTATCGGTCCTCAAGATAATGCGATCACAAGCTATTTTTGAATACATAATAAGCTCCACGATTTTATATTGCTTCATATTTTCCACCACTGGATGTGGGAGCATCCATACCTTCCAGAAATGCCTCCAAAGCTGCATCATCATCCATTGCATCTCCTCCCCCTCCTCCTCCTCCTGCTCCTGTGGATCCTGCTCCACCTCCTCCTCCAGAGGCTCCATCCCGTTTCTTCTCTCGTTTCTCTCCCAAGGAGGACTTCTTCTTGGAGCCGGAGCTGGAGCTGCTCTTCTTCTTCTTCTTGCGTTGTTCTTCGCCACCGTCTTGGTTGGAGTCTCTCCTAGAGTGTCTGTCCTCTCTGTCCTTTTCTCTATGCTTCTTGTGTTTGTGTTTCTTGTGTATCCTCTCCTCATCATCCTGCAGAGAGTTTGTACAATAATACAGGGGGGCATTTCACAAAACTTGTCATCAGTGAGAAATTACTGCTTCTGATTGGTTATCAGCAGATTTGTCACTGATTTTAGTCATTTGTCATTGAAAAAAAGGCTTTGTGAAACGGGTCCCTGATTTCGAATGGATACAAATAAACAGAGCACATCGGCTTTGACGAACAAGGTAATTGATGATCAATGCTTTACCCAAGCACAAGTGTGCTGTTCTTGTCAATGTCTTTAATAATGCATCCCACAGGTCCATTCACAATTTACAAAGAACAGTCACATGGTGTAACTCAAGTCTGAAGTCCTTTGTAAAATGATGAGTGGTGATTATTGTGACCAAGGATTCATAAATACAGTCAAACCTGCTTTTAGTGACCACCTGTCTACAAAGAACACCTGTCTACAAAGATCACGTTTCTTGTTTCCCTTAAAAAAGGTTTCTCATTGAAACATGTACTAAAGGAACCTGTCTACAAAGACCACTTTTTGTGTTTCCCTTGGGTGGTTGCTATAGACAGGTTTGACTGTATATCAAACAGGTGCAAGTAGGTGATGGTGAAATCTGCAAATTAACAGAAATAAAATCAGAGAACCCTACTTTATTGATCACTCCTCTTGGGCGTAAAAAAAAAGATATTGTATTGCCCTTTGCGACCGACCAAAACAAAATGTTTTAAATCATTAAAAACTGAGAAATATCAATATATAACTGGAAAAAAAAGATTTCTGACCAACCGACCGACCGACCCATGTTTTGGCACCTTAAGGGCAATACGTCTTTTTTTTAAAGGCTTTATTGACGTACCTCTTCCTTGTCTTTGCTCCTGTGTTTCTTTTTCTTCTTGGCTGAGCTGCTGGTGCTAGTACTGGTGTTGGTCTCACAATCACTGATGTCTTCATCCTGGACCACGGAGACGAGGACATCAAACTCATCACTGGCTCGTGATAGGTTTCCTAGAAACAGATTAATAGGTTAAAATCATTTAACAATCTTAAATCTGAGATGCATGACCCTACGTGTTCTCAGTGTTTGTGATATGGTGTAATATTGAAGCCCTAAAAAAATTGCGCTTCAAAATTAAAAAAAACGGTTTTACCATACTCATTTTCCTCAATAGACTGTAGTGTTATAAAACTCGTTAAGAAAACGAAATATATTTCTATTTCCATTCATAAATATCTTGATAATCAGACAGACGATCGGCTTGTAAAAGTCATGGGATTCCTGACTGACCTAAATGTTTATAATTATGATTGCAGGATGAGCTATGAGCTAAATACAGGATTTTGTTTCAAAATCTGAGACAAAGTTACCCAATCCCTGTAATAGGTTAAAATTGAGCATTAATTGTTTAGATAAATATCTAAACATCATCACTGTATATATGTTTCTTAGTACTGCAGCAGCTTCTTTGGAGAGTACAAATATCATAATAAATCATTTGTGTACAGCTGGTATGTATAAAATCAACCTCAGGAAACTTAACCTTACATTTTGAGTGTTACCTTGTTAAGGACTATGAAGGAAATGGGAGGATAACAAAAATCTTGTGCAGGGAACCAAAGTCGGACTTAAGTTTTATAATAATAATATTCAGTTCTTGTATAGCGCATAATACATTATGAAATACCATATCTATGCGCTTCCAAAGAGTTTTTGAAATTATTACCCTAGCTTTAGCTCCGACAGCCGTTTTCAGTGCACAGTGAATTTCAAGGAATAATCCTACCAAGTACCCATTTACCTCACCTGGGTTGAGTGTGACAAATGCATATTAATATCTTGCCAAAGGACATTAGTGGCGCAGCGGGACTCGACCCGCATACCTTGTGATCCCCAGGCTGGTGACATATCCATTCGACCACGACCATGTGCACCCTTTTCTACTCAAGTGCCTATGGGGGCGTCGGATAATCTACTCATGAGTTGCTTTTGTTCTTCAAAATCATTCAAAACATTTGCAGTATATCTTTCTGGATGTGAGATTGAATACTGAATATTTGTCATGAATTGTTTTTGATGGGGTGGGAACTTTTACTCAATTTATTTTTCAGACAAGAAGTCCTGAAATTGGGATACATGTGCTGTTAGAGTTAGTAAGACGGTGATCTAAAATCAAAGAATTGTTTTTGATAGGGTGGGGTGGGAAGTTTTACTCAAACTTTTATTTCAGACATGAAGTCCTGAAATTGGGATACATGTGCTGTTAGAGTTATTAAGATGGCAATCTAAAATCAAGGATGGTTGGTAGATTATTCATAGCAGACATGCTGTCTTGTTTTCCATCTTAAAGGTACTATGTCCCTTTTGCAGCCAACCTCAAATTCTGTAGAACTTTGCAGGAATTATGAATATGTCATATATGTCCTATCTGTGAAATTTAAATGTTAGCAGTGTCCTCATATGCAAATTATGCAATGAAACCCGTTTACTTGCTAGACTTCACTGTCAGACACTATTGAGTGACTGACTGGCTTTTTTTCTTCTTTGGTAATAACATACATGAAAAGAGTTGTAAAGGGTACATGAGCATTTGTCTACATCAATAACCCACTTCTTGTGATGGCCAAGATTAAACTGATTGAATCTTTGCGCAGCATAAAACGTATGACCATTTGGTACAATTGTCTGAAAATCAAGACTATTACTTTTGGGCTCTATAGCCCTAAAGTCGATTTGACAACAAATAGTCATTATTTTCCCACTTGAAGACAATTTCAAGCCCCACCTTTTTTAGGGAAGTTCTAAATTAGTATTATCTTTCAAATGCAGTTGGAATTTAACCTTTTCATTTTTTTTGGCCTGCAAATGGGACATAGTACCTTTAAATTTCCATACATTCCTCATCTCCCCTTATGACAGAATATGAATATTACATATGTTAGATGATCTTACTTGAGACTGTTTGTTTGGCAGGTTTTGAAGTTACACTCTCTAAGAAATTGAGGTCTTCTAATTGTAACGTCAGACCAAGAGTTGTTGGTGACGATACTTCTTGACTTGGGGTAGTTGGTACCTTGCAAAAGAATTAAAGGAAACAATCATTACAAGAAACAAATCTTGGTTACTGCTATACAACAATACAACAATAAAAGAATATAAAATGATGATATATTCTTGTGTAGATCTTGATCACTTTTGCTTTATATATAAATAACAATAAATCCATGGGGCACACTATAAAGACAATGGAACAAGGATTATAAAGCATTCCATGATAAAAGACATTGCAGTGCGTGAGATAAATAGATAAGCCTGTAATAGAGTAACAAAAGGTGTCAGTAAAAAAAGTGGCATAAAGAAGTCCATAAACATTAAATAATGCACTTGACAAATTAAAAACTAAATATGACAATGAAAAAAAAAAAAAATCAGTCAGAATATATATTACTATCCTTAAACTGGAAAAAAAAAAGAAACATGCTGCTTTGACATTGCACAGCAGTCTGATTTGCAAGACTTCATGAAAGAATGTAATTACCTCTACAGGTTCTGTTCCCTCTTCATCACTATCCTCTAGGACAACCTTGGACGGTCTTACATCAGTGTTAAATCCACCATCACCAGTTCTTAAAGATGTTGGTCTCACCACTGCTTCGTCCTCTGAAATGTCCTCACAATCCTGTAAAACCTTGATCCCTTCCCCTTCGTCTTCTCCTGAAGAGACAATATCCTGGTTGGAAGTCACCTGGGATCCTGAAGCCCCATGTGTCTTTGAAGCCCCCTGTGTCCTTGAGGACATCACCTCTTGAGTGTCCGGTAACGACGAGGATGACGACGTCGAGACCTTGGGTTGTCTTTTCGTTTCAACGTTCGGTTTGGACGGCATGCTAGAGGTTGCTGAATTCCTGCTAGACTCTTTCGTCGACGACAGTTTCTTTTCGAAGCTCCACCCCATGTTCCCACTCGATAGCTTTGACCGTGTTGATGACGTTGTTGCGTCGTCATCCGAATCGTCATCGACTCCGTCCATTGCTACGACTGGCCTATCATCAGCGGATTCATCGCTGGACATGTCCATACTTGCAAGCCTGGGAGGCATCCTTGAGAATGTATCGAACGGTGAATCGGGTCCCTCTGTGTCGGGGGTAACGAGGGTCACTGCCTGGACTTCCTCCCCTTCTCCAATCACCTCGTCTTCGGAGTCCAGCTCCTCTTGGAATCCAGCAACCATTGGATTCATTCCATCATCGCTGTCATAGAGAAACAAAACAGTGAAAGTGATATCACCCAGAGTGGAAATAACTACTACCCCAAATAGGCTTGGACTGTTTTAATAATTATTGTATACCGGTAATTGCTTTTATCATGTATATACATTGTAAACTGTTGTAACCATTGCATTTCAGCCCTTGAACTGCGAGAATGGATAATATTCAATTTTAAAAAATATTTAACAATCCTTCAATTATAGGCTTGATGTACATACAACTACTTCATGTTAGCATTTTGTTTCTATGAGTTACAATGAATATGTTCTCAATGACCTTCATGAACAGGCATGAATAACAACAAAGATTTAACCTTCAAGGGTACATTTCTTGCTTTTTGTTTAAATCATTATATCATAATTAACATTTTAAAAAGCTTTGAATAACACCTACCGTTAACAACTAAATTATTCATACCGTTACCAAGTTATGTAATTTTTTTTTAAAGTATGTGAATAATTGATTTGTCCTGATTTAGATTTCTTGGAAATGTGACATATTAAAGGCATCGTTTAACAATGTTGAATCTGAGATGCACGGCCCTATGTGTTTAATATCAGTGAGTGTCTATGATATGGTGTAATATTGAAGCCCAAACAAAATTGCACTTCAAAATGATCAAGAAGTGCCTCAAAAAAGTCAAAATCTTTGAGTGACCGGTTTTACCATACTCATTTTCCCCAATAGACTGCAGTGTAAAATTTGTAATTCCAATCATAAATATCTTGATAATCAGACAGGCGATCGGCTTGTAAAAGTCATGGGGTTCCTGACTGACCTAAATGTTTATAATTATTATTGCAGCATGAGCTAGATCCAGGACTTTGTTTCAGAATCTGAGACAAAGTTACCGGATCCCTTTAAAGCTTACATCTAAAAGTATTCAACAAAGGCCCTAATTCACCCAGTCCAAAGCAAAAAACAAAAACAAATTTACAAGGGGTATGAATAATTTTCTAAACATAAACTGTCATCATCCTTTAACAAGAATGCTCCCCAGGAAGTGGAAAATGTGCATATATTGTGTGCGGGTTAGCCCAAATCTGATAACCGTGGTAATAACATATCTGTAAAGTGCTTAGGCACATCATTGTATCGATGTATTGGGCGCTATATAAAAGTGGAATCTTATTATTATTATTATTGTGGATACCTGTCTGAGTCCGGATTTGGAGCTTGAGCTACGACCGGTGCCGGAGCCGGGGGCTCTGGTTTGGGTTTAGGCTTTGCTTTCCTTCCAAAGCTGAATATACTGCTCTTCTTGGGGGCCTCTGCTGCGGGTCTAGAGTCCGTCTCATCAAAGAATCCCTTGTCGATGCCATCGTCGGGGATGAACTCATCAACGTTGCTGATCTTGCCCTGGGGCTGCTGCTTACGGGAATGGTGGATCTCAGCTGGAGCTTCAATGACTGTGAACAGATACATGCATAGTTACATACATACATCAAGACATTACGAAAAGCTCTCGTTAAAAATATACACCACCACTATAACACAGGAACCAATGTCATTTTGGTGGGGTATCACGACCCCCATTTGAAAAAGAAGAACAAAACGTATTTTATATTCAACACACTGTAAAGATGTCTATACAATGGGAAATCACCAGAAAGATAAGTATTGTACTCCTAACAGATCTTAATCCTGAAAATTTACTAGAAATATCGCAATCTCCAGTTCTGCGCAATGCGAATGTATCCCCCGGCAGTGGCAGTGATTTTGTGTCATCCTTATGTTCGAAGGAGGGACAAAGATCCCCTCTACCCTCCCTAAAACAAAAGGATGAGGTAGAGATCGCTACTAGTGGCTCGGACTATTGTCAAGACTAGGAGTAGCATCACCAAAGAAATATGTTTGAAAATTAGAGTATAATGCATCTGTATAGAGAGTTTGAAAGAAATGTGGCCTGCAGAGCACACATATTTCCACCAAACTATGACCTGACCCTATACAAAATGGAACACTGAGGGCATATGTCACCTACCTGCCGATTTCTCATCCTCCACTCTTGTTCCTTGTTGGACCTTGGACTCGCTCGGAGCAAACCACTTGCTGAACCTGTTGCCTAGCGTAGTCTGATCCTCCTCCCCCTCCTGGGTGACGACGGGGGATGGAGCAGGCCTTGTGGGAGGGGCTTGTTGCTGCTGCTGCTGTTTGATTGGCTGTAGCTGCTGTATATGTCTGGTTGTGGGCGGAGTTGAGCTAGGGGTAAGCTGGCTTGGTGAGTGGGCGGGGCTTACTTTGGCAGGAGTAGCAGATGCGGATGAGCTTCGATTACTGCTTGTATCTGTTGTAGTGTTGGGTTGAAAACAGCAAAGTAAACACAGGTGAATAATGATATGTGATATTGACATTTATACTTAATGTTGTTTATGCATGCCATACCCTCCATTGCTACTATGTTGCAGTCATCTTCCTTTCTCTTTCTCCAAGCTCTCTATCCTCTTCTCCTTCTTGCCTATACCTTTCTTCCTTTCTTCTATTTATAATGTATATTATGTATTTGTGTATTCAGGTGTACCCATTGCAAGCTATGCGTACAGGAATTCGCGCCTTCTTCCTTGTAATACAAGTTCTTAAATTATATTTATGTTCCTACATATAAATTGTATTGTTTGAACAGATGTCAAATATGTTGTCAAATTGAATGGAAGAAAATAAATGTTCATTTGAATTGAATTGAATTGAATTAAATTGAATACTCTACAAAACCAAGCATAAAAAGAAAAAATTATCACACATTTTATATTCAACAAAAATCAAATTGTAAAATATAATCATCAAGATATATGAAAGAGTGACCACTTGAGTCGATATGCTATACATAACCCTAACTCTAAACATAACCGAAAACCCAATCGCAATTCAAGCCCTAGACCAAAGTAACTACTGCAAGATAACATTCTGGATCCTTAGGTATGTCTTCATCAGCTCGAGATTACCAAATAGCCCGCTATTTCTGATTTGGGAAATAATCCAGAAGTTACGAATTGCATCTTCATCAGCTCAAGACTCGACCTTGAAACTTGAAACTCGAGCTCGAGAAATTTTGCTCAGCGTTCGCGCATAGTGCGAGTCTTTGGGCTGGTGAAGACGCACTGGACAAAAAGCGGGACATTTTGCAAACTAGCCCTAGATATCTTGGGATGATTATCTCGACCAAATATCGCGCTAATTGCAAATTTGGGCTGATGAAGATGCAAATTAACTGGATAATTTGCGAATGTTAAAATAGCTGGATATTTGGCAATCTCGAGCTGATGAAGTCGGCCTATTGTTTCCCTCACCTGAAGCTCTCCTCGGTGTCTGGCCATTGGGTACGTTGAGAGACGATGAAGAACCTTTAGACTTATCTGTTTGCTTGTGGGAAAGACTTGACAAATACCTGAAATAGAGAGAGAGAGAGATGAAAGAAATATTTACTCTCTTTCTGCTTTATAATGGAATATAATCCTGGATACGAATGAAAACCAACAAAGAGATATTGCACATGGCAGGGCGTAAACAAATTGCAGTAGGATTAGTTAAGGAGGGAAAAATCAGATACTTTGGTCATGTTATAAGGCACCAAAGCCTCTTAAAGGATGTGTTGGAGGGAAAAGTGGAAGGAACAAGACCGAGAGGGAGACCCAGAATCAACTGGGAAGAGAATGTCAAGAACTGGAGTGGACTAAAACTGCAAGAGTGCACCAGAATGTCAGAAGATAGAGTAAAATGGAGAGATGTTGCAATCAACTTCCGAACCGGGAAAAGATACTTAGATAGATAAACAGACAGAGTATATGGAGAACCTCGTGCAAAGCTATGTGGCAGTCTAGGATTTCAATATGTGGTGGATAAAGAGTTCAGAGATGCTGACTGTTAATCAAGTCCATTTGTTTATGTGCAGTTGTCCAAAAGAAATCGTTGATGGCGTTGACCAGTATATATGCCATGCTACATCCCCTTTAAAAAACAGAATGAGACGTAGAGATCATGCTGACCTTCTGAATTTCTAAGTTTGCTTGTGGGCAAATTTCGCAAATACCAAAAATTCAGAGTGAGTCAAAGAAAAATTAAAGATTGAGGGTATAAATCATAAAGAAAATGACCAAAGGGAAGGAGGTATCAACCGACATTAAGAAACATGGATGATACAGTTAAATGTAAAATTGTTTAATGAGCATGGCTGGGATGGATCCAAAAAGAAACCAACAATAAAGTTGAAAATGAAATGAAATATGGTGGATTGGTTTCTGAATATTCAGAAAAAGAAAAGAATGATGCTTGTACTTAAAAACATTCAGCAATTTTGTTTAAAGCACTGAAAAGATAAAATTGCAGAAGTTGCTTACATATCGTAATCCTGATCTTCTGACTCTATTCTTGCATCTAGTTCTTCTAGCGTTGCATCGGTTTCTAACTGATTCCTCTGCAGCTGTTGTAGAAGTGTTTCCCTCTGCCAAAAAAAGAAAGAAAAAGAATTAATGCTTGGTTCATGAAATAACATGATGTACTAATAAAAAGCCTCTCAAGTGGATCGTTTAGTAAAATAATTCCCAAGCCCAAAGACTGAAAGTCATAAAAGTAAATGTGTGAACAAGAATAACTGAAATTAAGAATTTCTTGTAATAATTTTATTATGTGTAAAGAAAAATTGAATATGTACATACATTTTTTTCCTTCACACTTTCTGAATACATTTGTTTATCTTTCAGTTGGAAATGAAATGAATACGAAATGAATTGAATTGAACAACATATCTAGAGTATTATCGTATGACACTGTTTCCTGTTTTTATTTAAACAGCACTGTTCGCCTTGTGAGATATGATATTTCCAGATTACTTTCCTTCAAATGCATTACTAAGTTTACTTTGGAAATATAGAATGAGAATAATTGAGTTCAGATTAAATGGTGATTTTTTTCATTTTTAAGAGAAGATGGAAAGTTTATGACCTAAGTATACACTTCAAGGGTAATTTGCACATTTCACATTGGTAAGTGCTTTTCTTGAATTAAACCCTCACTGCAATCTGCTATTTCCCACTTTAGTCCTTAAGCATCGCCAAGAAAATCAATAAAAAAGTAAAAACTAAGAAAAACAAAAGAAATTCATTACTTGGCCCAGTACTCTAGGCATTCATTTTGTATGCATGGAAGGTCATTTTGTTTCTGCAGGTCCATGATAAAATTAGACATACCTGTAACTGTAAGAATGGGATGTTGAAGAAAGAATGCAGATATTTTAGGCCAAAACCGTTTTTCATGGAAGATTCCGCTACTCGAATGTGGGCTGAACCTGGAGGTCTACAAGACAAAAAAGAAGAGAAAAAATTAATATCATATTGTTTTCATTAATCATACAATCTATGTAAAAAAAATGGTTTGAATTCATGTCAAGGAAAAGCAACTGTATTTTATTTCTGTGATTGATTTGTATTGTTTGAAATCAATAAAAAAAACTATTGACATTTTGTTTTTAAATAAGCATGGTACTAGTAACTATATTCAATGCACTAGTATAACAAAGCTAAGATGTAGATCCTCTGGGAAATTTTCAGTGTTTTAATATTTTATAAAATTTGCTTTTTAAGTTTCTCTAATATTGGGGATAGAAGAAAAAGTGGAAATAACTTGACATGCAAAATGACATGTACTGGAGTGTTACATAATAAAAAATGTGCATGCAGCACTTGATAACAGGGGTATCAGATTATGAAGAACATAGCAGAATCTGTTTGTTACTAATTTTCTTTATGACTTAAATACACAACAACATAGAGAAAAGAAATTGAGAATCATTGAGACATGGCCATTTATACTACATGACTCAGTTGTATAATTTTTATTTGATATGTATGTCTAAAATGTGAAACAAAAAAAATTGAAACTTGAAAAGAGCGCAAGAAAATGTGAAAGAACAGCAGGAGGAAAAAGGGTATGAAGATAGGACAATAGTCATATAGGAAAAGCAACAAAAACAACAACAACAAAAGAAGAAGAAGAAAAAGGAAATACCAGGGGATAGGGGTGGGTGTAGAACAAGGAAGTAAGAGGAATCATCCATGCATATTCATCTCATTCACATATTTTTCAAATTAAAAAAAAAAAAAAAAGCAGACAAAACAAAACGGAACTAAAAACAATACAAGACTAAAGTCATACAGGAAAAAGAAACAACAACAACAACAAAGAAGAAGAAGATAAAGGAAATACCAGGGGGTAGGGGTGGGTGTAGAACAAGAGAGTAAGGGGAATCATCAATGCATACTCATCTCATTCACATATTTTTCAATTTAAAAAACGAACAAAAAGCAGACAAAACAAAATGGAACTTAAAATCTTACAGTTACACAAGGACCCGTCTTCTCACCTGTCTAGTTCTTTGATGAAGTACTCAATTTCTTCTCTGTAGACTGCCTGCTCTTCATGCAAGTCTTTGAAGCTGGCCATGACTAATACCGGTATATGTGTAGGAACCTTGGGAAGCTCTTTCTCAACGTATTGCCATGTCCTGCAGGAGGGAATACAGAGACAGAGAGTGATGGAGAGCGGGAGAGAGAGAGAGAGAGAGAGGGAGGGAGGGAGAGAGAGTGTGTGTGAGAGAGAGAGAGTGTGTGTGAGAGAGAGAGAGAGAGAGAAGGAGAGAAGGAGAGTGTGTGAGAGAGAGAGAGAGAGAGAGAAGGAGAGAGAGAGAGATGGAGATATAGAGAGGGGGAGAGAGGGGAGAGAGATAGAGAGAGAGGGGGAGGGGGGGAGAGAGAGACAAGAGATATCTATAAGCTAAACTGTATGCCTAATTGGTGACGCTTGCCTCCTAATTGGGACACAGGGGAGGGATTATTGTTATTAAAGACAAGATTGCACTTGTTTAAGTTATTTAATTTATTTAATTGCGAAAACTATCACTGTTATTTTTGCTTCTCTCCCTGACGGTGTTACTCAGTTTGTTTGTATGAATGAACTGAGTTTTCTATAAACCTCAATTTTTGTATACGTGCTTTTGAATTTTAAGCACATAAAGAACACCCCTTCCTCCTCATGTCACTGGCTTACCATTTCTTAGAGATGTCGAGCATCATCACCACACCATTAGTTCCCTTGTATACATCAAGGAACAAAGCATCCAGGCAGGGGTTGTCTGGGTCATCTTCATCATCATCATCATCATCATCATCACCATCATCAATCATCACCATCAATATCATCATCATCATCATCATCATTACCATCACCATCATCATCATCATCATCACCACACCACCACCATTTTCATCAACATCATCATCATTATCACCATCATCACCTTTACCATCCCTTCACCATCACCACCATCTTCAAATTCCTCCTCCTCCTCGTCTCCCTCCTCCTCATGTCACTGGCTTACCATTTCTTAGAGATGTCCAGCATCATCACCACACCATTGGTTCCCTTGTATACATCAAGGAACGATGCGTCCAGGCAGGGGTTGTCAGGGTCATCTTCGTCTGTATCTTTGTTGTCTATCTTCAGGGTGTTTCTCTCTCGTTTCCGGGGCTTCCCCTTGTCAACCACATCCCAGACTTCCACTTTGACGACATCATCGGTAGCTGTTTGTTGAAACAAGAATAATAGTAAGATTAAAGGAGAACTTACGTTTGAAGTTTCTTCGTTATTTTATGAATAGTCAGAGGGAAGTTTTTCATATACATGTATATATATATACATGTATATAATTATGAAGTAAAATAGTCAGATAAATTATAATGGGAATGTCAAAGGTATTTGAGTCTTTTTGTGTCCAATACATTCCCAAAATATTAAAGAGTCCTCAATATAATCAACATAAAAAGTGTCATTATCCTTGATATTTTCTCTCATCCAATCAGAGTGGAACTACATGCATCAGATTGATAACATCGATAGAAATACTAAAATTGTTGACGATGTCAGTTACATATATGCAACACAAAACCTTGGACTTGCCCAATACCAATACAAAAATGTACCCGGTATCGTTACCCCCTCCATCCAACATGGAGCTACCCCCCGTGAGGCGGTAGCAAACATCACTAGGGGTCGCAAGGTGGTCTCTGTCCTTGCAACTAAAAGAATTTTGAAGAAACGTATCAAAAACTAATAATGGTGCATGTCGAATACCTCAGGTGTGGTTGCTAAAACAGTCAGAAGAACATTGGAAATTACTTATAAATTACTTAAATAAAAGTCCTTCCCAATTCCCTGCATGGCTTTGGTTTCAGAATGGGATCGAACGCTGAAATAAGACGCTATTTGATCTGGCTTGCTGCCTTCGGTGTCGGCAAAAAACCAAAACCAAAAAAAAAAAAAAAAAAAAAAAAATAGGGTACGTCTTGTACACAGAGATTTACGGTAATTTTCCACTGCTTATAAACAAAAAAAGAACAATTGGTAATTTTCAATATTTTATCGCCGAATAGATAATCCTCTTTAACAAGTCAGAAAATCAATCATGACAAGAAGATGATCAGAGAGAGAGAGAGGATGATAATTAAATTACCTTTGTAGTTCCACTGTATACTGGCTACTTGAATCTCAGCTGTTGGAAGATAACTTTCTGTGAACTTGCCTCCCTGTAGCCGATGAAAGAGCGTCGTCTTCCCTGTGTTCCTGTCACCTTTTATGATTACTCTCACTATCAAAACAAATGAAATAAACAATGAGAACAGTAGCACTGGCTTCTTATGTACTCATATTAACCATGTAGCTGTCCATGTAGGGTGCTCAAGGTGCCTCAATTCCCTCCAATATCCTTTTTAGGACAGGACAGGCTAGTTGTGCTTGTTCCCCCCCCCCCCCCCCCCCCCCGAGTCCCAGAGGCAACTGACTGATTTAACTGGCAGGTAAATATAATATCACATAATAAATGGGCAACATTATTGTTTTATAGTGAATAAACTATCCAAATGGGTTTAAAAGGAGAGAGAGGGAAGCATGGGTCAACCCCCCCCCCCCTCCTCCCCATATTTTTCACTGATGTAATAACTTGTTTGTGTCTGTAATATACTCACTGTGGTATAATGTATTGTACCCCTCTGGGGCCAGTTTCTCAATACAGTCAAGAGTCTAAGTTTGTAGACATCCATTAGATACGCATGTTAATCTTATAACACACGTTTCAATGGGATCTACAAGAAGTTAGACTTATGATGGTTTCAAGAAACGGGGCCCGAGGTATAGATTTAAAAGGGAAGAGAGCAGCGCTCAAAATACACGGGGGCGGTGGGCGATTCGCCCCCGTGAGCTACATAATCGCCCCCGTCAGGTTGCGGACGGGGGCGATTGCAAAATTAAAAATCGCCCCGGTGGAATTATAAAATAAAGATTATCTTTTCTGTTATAACTTTAACACAATATTGAGTTTCAATTTTCAAACCTTAAACCAATGAAATGGAACTAAGATTAGCGTGCAAGATTTCTCGTTTTATAGGCCTATTATTACCGATTCAGCTCGCAGTGCAGTGCCGCCGTCAGCAGTGGTTATAGGCCTACTGCGCCGTTAGAAGCGGTACGTGTGCACGCTGCCGCGCCATGTCTGCTGGAGCTGGAGGCGATCGCGCAAGGGCAGAAACATGGTCAGTTTTTCGTTGTCAGCAAATAATGAACCTCGACTAGTAAATCAATATTAGGGACTTTTAGATTTGCACGTTGAGAATGTGGACTGCAACGTGTGACCTCCTTTTAAGGCACTGCCAGTGCTTAAAAGGACGTCACATGTGACTGCCAGTGCCTTAAAAGGAAGTAACACGTCCACGCAAATCTAAAAGTCCCTATTGAGAAGAAGAGGAAGATGAAGAGAACAAGATGTCGTGGAAGGATATGGTAACATGGGCAGATCTACAGGGGGGGTTAGGGGGTTTAACCCCCTCCTCCCCCCCCCCCCCCCCCCCCCCCCCCCGGCCCCCTTGGGCTGCCAAGTGAAAATGTGATATTAAAGCGGGGGAGGGGGTGCTGGAGAGGAGGACTACTAATCTATTTAATTTTTTTCAGGGGGCGGGGGGAAGTGAAGCGCCGTTTTAGCATGACTTTCTTTTTAACTCTTACTTTCACCTATCTCAGATAACCCTAAGTTTTTGGTTGCTGCTTTATATGTAGTTGATAATGCATGATTAAAATAAGAGAGAGAGAGAGAGAGAGAGAGAACCACCATCATTTTGCAGTGGTTCAGGGTTCGTGTAATGTACATTTGAAACCATTTCTTAGCGTCTCAACCCTAAAAAAATAACAAAACTATTTTTGAGGAAAAGCATTATACTGAATTAAATAAAGAATAATAGCTTTATACTGGATCATACTAATACTGATACGGGCTAAAGACAATGTGGTATTTGTATAGAGGTATTCCAAAATGACATTCTGATAATCAACATTTGTTCTGGTATCATAATGTATATACGCATAATACAACTGATCTTTATGATTTCTTAACGTGACATAGCTTCTTTTCCCCCTGCAAACAAAAAAGAAAACAAGGTTATTTAATAAAAGAATCATGCGACAAATAATCATTGTGATTCAAATTGATGCAAGGATTTTTTTGAATAAGCAATGCTTTTCACCAGAATCTTCTTTGTAAAAACGACTTTTACAAATCTCAGCCATGCAAATCTGCCACTGTGTTGTAAGATCACTTTCAGATTAGGAGAAGTGTATTCTTTAATGAGTATTTTACATTGAATGGAACGTCTCAACTCAGTAAGCATGGCTGAGATTTGTAAAAGTTGTTTTTACAAAGAAGATTCGAGTGAAAAGCATTGCTTATTCAAAAAAATCCTTGCATCAATTTGAATCACAATGATTATTTGTCGCATGATTCTTTTATTAAATAACCTTGTTTTCTTTTTTGTTTATTCAAACAAATATTCGCATCAATTTGAATCACAATCATTATTTGTCGCTTAATCCCTTTTAATGACCTTGTTTTCTTTCTCGTTTGCAAGGGGAGAAGAAGATGTTGTCACATTAAAGACATCATAAAGATCAGTGTTGTATGCGTATATATTGTGTACACAGGCCAGTAACAGCTATGTAGCTTGCAAATTTGTAAGAGGGAAAATGCTGATTGAAATGATAATGATGAAATAGCAAATAATTGAGGAGTATCATAGGTACCAATTCAATGGATATTTGTATAAAAAAAGAGCCCCCTTCAGTACTAAAAGAGCCCCAGTGAGAAGGCTCACGGGGGCTCTTTTTTAGGGGAAGAGCCCCCGTGGACAAAAAATTAATTTGAGCCCTGGAAGAGAGGAAGGCATGTGTCAGCTATTTGCTGCTGATGTAAAAACTTGTTTGTGCATGTAATATACTCACTGTTGTATTGTACCCCTCTGGCAAACTTGCGCTGCAGACTGACCCCCATGGCCTGCATCCCCGAGGGGATGTTGGGCCTGGTTTCCCCTTGTTCATTGGTAACCAGCTTCTTCAATGCCGAAAACATCCTGATTGCTTTCTCATCGGCACATCAATGACACCAAGAATTCAACCTGAAATGACGAAAATGAGGTAGATTGACTTTGAATCAGAGCTACATTACATGTTCATGTATATTACTTATTTTCATAACACTGCAATACTTCCACAGCTACAGTACACATGATTTTATGAATATTTAGTAGATCCGTTTTGGCAATCAAGCATCCTGTATCATTAATCAACTCATGATGTGGTCGATATTGATAGCAAAAGTTTATTTTTTTAATCTTGATTTTTTAGGCTTGCATGATTACAGAAATATTAGGATAGTCTACATGTAATAATGTAGTTTTTTTACATCTGTTTACTTTAACATACCGTAATGTTCATGTACAAATTGAATTATTACAGTTAAAAAAATAGCGGTCAATGTACTGTTAATTAAGTCAAGAAAGCAAGTGGCATGTCTTTATCAACTTAGAAAAAATCAATCATCATCCATTCTCTCCTCATTTCTCTTTTTTCCTCTGCTACTTTATTTTCCTCTTCATCTTTGTCTTTTCCTCTTTCATTAATTAGAAAAAACTAGATGTGATAAACTAGAAACAAAATGTTAATTTATCACAATCTGGAAGAGTCAATCTGTCATTCCAACGCAATCACACTGACTGGATCATGCAGGACAGAATTACAATTTGAAAGAATTAGCAATTTAAGAATAAGATCACGTATACCACACAGTTGATAAGTAACATTAAAATATCTAGACTACAAGTAATATTTCATAAGTCTAATTTTACTTATCAGTAGAGACTAGAGAGAAGAGTAGGGGCGCTGGTCCGAGAATAAGGATAAACGAGGATCATCTTCGTAAGCCCAGACAGACACATCCTAAAAATAAGGATCGTCCGCATTTTCGTGGGCGATTCTCATTTCCGATCTGCGCGTTGCCGATACAAAAAACAGATTCTGCGATGATGCACAGAGAATTTCCTTAGGAAGATGGACAATTAACTGGGGGTATTTTATTACGCAGAACCCTACACCCGCAGAGTGCCGAACAATAAGGATAGACCTAATCCTTATTTTTTTCGGATGTGATTTGTCCGCCTTTACAACAAGGATATCCTCATTCTCAGACCAGCGCCACTTCTGCTCATGTTAGAAAAGATTAATACAGGACAAATATTTATGACGTTCAGTGGTATTTCATGAAATCCGAACACAAAAGAGAAGGCTTTATTTTGGTAAAGAGACAGTGGTCGGACACACACACAACACCCCATAATTCATAGTCATTCTCTACTGAGTCAGTGAGTACGTAGACTGTAATAATTTATGGTTTAGCTCCTAATTAGTTGTTAAAAAAATTAAAGATACTGCAGGCTTACACGCAACTAGATTGGATCAGCTCCTTGTCGTGGTATCCCAATCAGCTGTGCAATGTTGTGATGTGTCAACTGTCAAGTATAGTGCAGATGATTCATAGACGTGCAATACATGCAAGCTACATACTCCTACAGTGCAGTGCTACTGTATGTAGTATAGTAGCTAGATGCGCTGCACTGATGACAACGTCGACGAACAGAACTCAGTTTCTAGCCTTGGCTAAGCTGCAGTCGAAGTCTGCTGGCTGCTCCTGACTGCTCCCTGAATCCTGATAGTACGGTTAACTCGTTGATATATTTACAATTAATGTATTTCAGGTAAAATCAGGAATGATGCTGGCTACGAATGCACGTACATTTAATACTTCATGACATTCCGATGAAGCAATTACCCTAAAAAGGCTGGATTGTAAGGTGAAAATTGGTTTAACGTGACTGTGAGACTATACCGGTACGGCGCGCGCGACAGCTGATTTGGCGCACTAATTTCGCTGCGTCGCGCGCGTCTCTCTCTGTTGTTGTCCCTCCGCTTTTCGGAGATCAGCGAGTATATCGCATTCGAAGTAGTAGGCTGCTGTAAATATGTTATAAAATCCTTAGTTGGAGGGTATGGAGTGCAGGCGATGGGCATGAATTTTGTAAAGATAGTGAAGTGTCATCTTTAAAATAGAATCATTGACAGTGGAGGGAAGGTATGGATCATATCAGTCATGTTGTATAGCGCTGATATGCATCCAGTGTGTGACGGCAGCGAAAGTAGTTCGACCTTTGCAAACCATAACATCTCTCCGATTCACACATGTGTACATGATGAGTATGATCTCCGCTTTTTATTCTCTGTCCATTTACAATGGAATAAAGCTACAAAAAGAACGGACTCGAAGTCAATTCAATGCTTGTCAGATCATGCATATTATATCTAGGCCTAGTACCAAACAATGACATGATTTACAGGTAGCCCGGAGCTCATTTTGACTTCTGACTCTTGGACTGGGAGTGCAGCGGGCCGGAGTCTTGACTTGAGACTTGAGTCTGAGTCTAAATAATTTGGAACTTGAAATTTAAGTTGAATTGAACTTGAACTTGAACTTGTCTTCATGGTCTTGCCTCTTGGGCCTTCATTCAGTGTATGAAAATGATCTAACCTCTGTTCTTGATCTAGTAGTAGTTAGATTTCTAAGTTAGATGTAGAAATCTAGATAACTTTATCAAAGTTTTCAAACGAAAATGAATTTCGAGGCCGAGGAATTAGAAGACACCAGTGAAAGTGGAAAGCTGATGTACGTGTTGGCGGAACAAGAGCAGACTGATCTTCAGAGGGATTTTGATCGAGCAACAACATTTATGACTTCAGTGGCTGGGAATCTTGGCAGTACCAAGCTTTTATATTTCTATGCAAGATTCAAGCAGGTGATCATTTATTGTGATACCAATAGTACCATGCAGTAACGTAACCCCCCCCCCCCCCCCTCCAGAGAGTTGAAGAATATTGTTTTAAAGAAATTTAATCTTGGGCTTCCAATTAATTAGTACAACAAATTAGACAAAGCTTCAGAGTTCAGACTCGTCTCTATATAGTGCAGTGTATCGATCATTCAATGCCATTTGTTCTGCTGAACTAGATACGTACCTCAGACGATATGGAGCTCCACTGTTGGTCTGTCACCGTCTCTTACTCGTATAGCCCTAGTCTTGGTCTATCTAGTGGAATATGATTCCCCAAGTTATAACAAAATCAAATTTCATATCTTCCTTTAAAAAACAATATAAAATCTTACTACTAAATTGTTAATTGATCATCACAATTACTGGTATTGATTTTGTTTATCTTATTAACCCCCTTTCATTGTTGTTTTCTTCCCCCCCCCCCCTTTATAGGTCTAGAGTTCTAGATCTATGAAGGGGTGACCAAAGTTCGCGGACATTTTAGAACATATTACAAAATGTGATATTCGATCTATGATTTCTCACATTCTACACAACTTTATTTATTTCAATTATTACCAAATGGACGGCAAAGTTTTTTACTACAGATTGGTTCAACTAGAAAAATTTACCGTCGAAGGATTTCGGAGATATCGCGATCTAAAAATTCGATGTCCGATCGTGCGTGTGCGCTGCATCTAAAAAAGTCATAAAAACAATGAGACCTAACTTCACGCACGGTGGTTTACAGTTGATTTATCAAAAAATGCGATCCATCAAAAATAAGGTAATATCATAATTTGCAAGGAAAGATATCGTATAATCAGTTCGTACCACTCTTTACTTACAATTTTCAGGATTTCTGATCTCAAAATGAAGATTTCCAGACCCTTAACCTTATCGGTAAGTTGATAATTTTTCGGAACGGACGCAAATAACTGCAAAATTTGCCGATCTTTTGTCAATATTTTCACAATTTTGCAACCAATTCTAAAGAAAATTTCGTGACTGGGTAATTTTAAGACCCTCTTTCCATTGGTGATATCAGATTTTCGAAATCTTACCGATTTTTTGAGAAAGCGAACTTTGGTCACGCGCGAACTTTGGTCACACTGCCATATATATATTTTTTTCTATTTCACTTTCTCCTCGCCTTAGCCTAGAAATGTCTGTAGATCTACTGTGCTTTACTTAATTTATTGTTGTGTGCTTATAACCTGGCTTAAAATATTTTGTATTGCTGTAATGGGCGATCCAACTTTACAGGTTTTCGCAACCTTCATGGAAAGCCCCGCATTGGCCTATAACCTTGGTTAATTTACTGTTACTTATACTTTATACTTATCTATTGAATTGAAATGAATTACTCTTAGTATGGAGCCCCATTTTTTTAAATCTATCATGAGCACAAAAAAAAATTAATAATTTCTTTTTTTTTAAATTTATTTATTTATTTATTTATTTATTTATTTTTATTTATTTATTTATTTTTATTTTTTTTTTATTTTTTTTAATTTTTTTTAATTTTTTTTTTTTTTTGGGGGGGTTCAGGCGAACGGGGTGCATATTGATTCTCACATGGGGTCGAAATGCCTAATGACTTTGGTCTAAATCAGCTGATCAAACTTTTATTTCTCTCTCTCCAATGTCTTCAGGCAACAGTTGGAAAATGCAACATATGCAGGCCTGGTATGTTCAATTTTCAAGGGAAACAAAAATGGTAAGTGTGCAGGAAAAAAGGTCATATGACTCCAAAGTGGAAATTCTGTATTAAATCATGGACCCAACTGTTAGGGACACCCGGCCCTCCACTCAGTGTTATTTAGGTATGCATATATGCGTGTTCCCAGCATCCTCCCCCCCCCCCCTCCCTTTCCAGCATAAGTCTGGTGTGTATATAAAGTCAGTACGGGTAGATCTTTTTCTTTTGTTATACAAGCCTCTTTAGCACCCCCCCCCTTTTCAACATAAGTCCAGTGTGTAAAGTCAATACGGGTAGATCTTTTTCTTTGTTACGAGCCGTAGATTTTGAGAACATGCATGCACTCCATGCAGTCCCTCCGTTCCCGGAGTGGGGGGGGGGGGGGGGGGGTGGTGGCTGGGTAGGGACACTAGACAGCAAAGACCATTTGGTATTGGGAATTTCTTCTCTTCTTTTAAATGGCATATGTCAACCTTCCCCATACACAGACAGAAACCCTTTCCAAACACACACTAAGGGAATAACTAGCAATTTTCTGCAAAAAAAAGTTTACTGTTTTTTTTTGCTTTATCTAATCCTAACAGTTTGATTTAGACAAAATGAAGATTTTTATACTATAAAAAGATCATACTTAAAAACTTATTATTATGAAATTATTGTGAAACATCAAAATATATAAGACTTAGTTATTTTAAGCTAATATCTGTTCGTTTTCTTGTAGCTACTTCGCTTGATGAGATCGACAATCACACACAAACTGCGTTGTGTAAACTCCCCTCACTAACCCGTACAATGCACTTCAGTCTCTATAAAGAGGCGGTCAGTGAAGCCTGACATTCCAGTGAAACAACCATTGATATATCAGAGACTGAAGCTTTTGGTCTAGAGGCGGTCAGAGTCAAGACCTGGGGGGCGTTTTACAAAACTTGTCATCAGTGACAAATGACAGTTTTTGTTGTAAGCTACTGAAATCCTTGCTCCTGATTGGTTATCATCAGATTTGTCACTGATTTTTGTCATATAACTTGTCATTGAAAACAGGCTTTGTGAAACGCCCCCCCCCCCCCCCCCCCCCCCCCCCCCCCCCGATGAGCTTAAATGTGGTAGTGTTGATTACCTCTTATGTCCCCTTTTTTTTTTTAAACTGAAAGGAAAGTCTACCAATAACCATGAAAACTGCCTTTTTTTATAGTTTTGGGAAGGTAGAAGATGATTCCTCTGAATAGGAGAGCTGAACGAGAGCAAGAACAATAAAGAGGCCAAGAGGGTCAATATAGACCAAGCAATCTGCTCTGAAAATTCTGGATTCTGGACCTATGCACTGTCAATGATTTTGATGTCGTCCCCGTCCTCTATTTCTTTTATTTGACCTGGGGGTGTTTCACTAAGATTTTAAGTCAAACTTATCTCTAAGTTGGACTTAACAATTATGGAAAGCTGTTAGCATCTTTGAAAATATTTTGTAAAAGTTATTTTAAAAGGCATAAAATGTTGATTCCAATCATTCATATTTTCTGTTATCAAGGGGATTTCATGTTCTTGATGTGGAATATATGAAAAGTCTAAAATACTTGAGTTTTCGCTTTTGAACACATTTTATTTTAAGGCTAGAAATGATTCTCCATAATTTTTAAATCCAACTTAGAGTTAAGTTCGACGTACACTGTAGGATCTTTGTGAAACACCCCCCCCCCCTGGCATGTAGTGTCATAATAATATAGTAAACATAGGCTCCTTTGCTCAATACCATTTGTAGGGATGCATGGAATGCCTTGAAGGATATTAGCAGAGAACAGGCCATGATAGAATACATTGAAGCAATGGATGAAGTTGACCCAGACTGGAGCTCAAAGGCCATAGGTCAGAAGTCATCTTCCAGAGGTTTTGGTGTTGGAGTCAGTACCATGCTGGTCGAAGAAGAAGAGGAATTGAGGTAAGATGGGTAATAGCTTTAACTAAGAAAGAAAAAAAAAGACTTTTAAGTTGGGTGGTCCAAATTTTGATTTTGAGCGTCCAAATTGTTGGCACCTGTTATTTGTAGAGGAGGTCAAGACCAGATAAGCTTTACTTAGGTAGCCTTGATTAAATCCTATAAGTATCGTAGTCGAGTGGTTTAAGCACTTGACTTGAAATTCAAAGGTCGTGGTTCGATCCCCGACACGGCACTAATGTCCTTTGGCAAGGCATTAATCTACATTTGCCACTCAATACCCAAGAGAGAAATGGGGACCCGATAGAATGACAAAAGAATTTATGTTAGTAATTGCCTATGCTCGCGATGATCATATGGTAGGAATACTCCCCAGGAAGTGGAGACGGTGCACATTGTGCATGAATGTATCCAATGACTGGGGTAATAAATCTGTAAAGCGCTTTTAGATGGTATGCTGTTTTAAGCGCTTTATAAATCCAGATAAGTATTATTGTTGAGCCCTGGTTATAGCCAATTATTATGTTACCTGTTTTCTTCAAAGTGATCAGGAGAAATCCATTTTTGACTGGTGCAAGGAGGGCGAGGTTGAACAAGTGCGACTTCTTCTATCCAGTGAGGGCACCAACATCGAACAAGTGGACGAGGATGGTTTGACCCTGTTTCATTGGGCGTGTGACAGAGGTCACCTGGAGGTCGTGACCTTACTCCTGGAGCGAGAGGTCAACGTGAATGCTCTGGACCAAGATGCCCAAACCCCACTTCATTATGGTAATGGCTCCCGTTAGTGTTTTTCCCTTTGTATTTTTTTATTAAAGTAAATAATTTTTCTTTAAAGCCCCACTGCACTACTTGTAACTACTTGCTCCGTCTATATAGAAAACAATGCCTAAGCAGTGCCTGTTGGTCTTCCATGATCCTCTTTGTCAAGATTATGGTAATTGAGAGCTGAGTTGATGAGATAGCCACCTGTTAGTGACCACACTGGGTGGTCTAATTCCTCCTGGCCAAACAAGTAAAGATAGGCTTTAAATCATTATGCAGTGCCATAAAAATATCCTGAATCTTAAAGAGTAATTATGGTATACCTCCATTGAAATTTGATAATGAACAAATTCTGTAGACAAATATTATCTATGAACCCTTTGACTACTGAATTCTAATATTTCCTATAGATATAATACAGGAACTACCCGATTCCAGTAGGCAATTGGCCTTATTAAATATCTTTCTCTCTATTTTATCAAATATTTTCTTTGGCAAGTCCAAGCTATTTTCCCTGACCACATGTAATAAAGATTTTAGAACATCTGATCGTTGTATCATTTTATTAGCCCTACTGGAGCTGAGGTCAGACAAAATATGATGCAAAATTTTTGGGAAATCTGGTGTGAATTGATGTTCGAAACTCCACAATACTTGATAGCGTATGCAACACCAAATTATCCACGTACCTTATATTGAGTGTCCTGTCTCCACTTTTTTTCTTTTTGTTGTTGTTTGTTATATATTATATTATAAGATGATGACATGAATCTTAAACAAATGATTGGTTGAAAGCGTACACTGACTACCGGTAGGAATTTACTTTGCCTAACGCGTACTTTGGATAATGTCCGGTCATTAGTAAAATCATGTGATAAAACATCATTTTATAAAACAAATAAAACGTAATTCTTACTAATGCCCTCACTGATGTGTATTATTTGTATAATGTGCAGTCGACTCGGCCTTTTTAGAAATTGTAATATTTAAATTTACAGTTTTTATTACTGTTACATATTGTTTACCTCTATTCTAATGATATATATCTCTCTCTCTCTCTCACTATCTCTTTCTCTCTTTCCCTTCTTTAGCCTGCACGTGTGAACACCTCCCAATCATCGAAGCTTTGGTCAAACATGGTGGCAACGTGAACGCAAAGGATGCAGATGGGAACCTGCCGGCTGACAACACATACAGGAAAGACATCCATCAATTACTAGCAATAAGCCGTGATGTAACATGATATTAGATCAGGGGGGTGTTCCACAAAGATCCTAAAATCCTAACAATTATGGAAAGCCTTTAGCATCCTTTAAAATATTTAGTAAAAGTTATTTTAAAAGGCATAAAATTTTGATTCAAATCATTCATATTTTCTATTATCATGGGAGATTTCATGTTCTTGATGCGGAATTTATGAAGAGGCTAAAATACTTGAATTTTTGCTTTTGAATATGGTTCATTTTAGGGCTACTAATGGCTTTCCGTAATGTTTAAGTCAAACTTAGAGTTAAGTTTGACTTAGAATCTTTGTGAAACACCCCCAAGAATCTTCAGATGGTGTTGTGTTTTATTAATGCTTTCATAAGTTTATACACATGTAAATAGAATTACAGTTTTTAAATATTATGTGAAAAAGTGTCTTATTATATGAGTCCCCTATTTTGTATTGACAAAGGTCAAAATATTTGTGGATTACAAAGTCAAATACTTTTTTTGATAGATCCATTGAAACTGGACATTAATTGAAATGTGTTCAGTAACATGTATCAAGGTGCTAGCATGGCAATTGAGAGGATGATTGGAAGAATCAATATGACAGATTCACAATCCACAGCGCCACCTAGTGACAACCCATGTTTAGTCAATTTTGAGTGATGCATCATGGGAAAGGTCGCCTAAAATGTCAGCTGTGGCATTGTAGTAGATAAAGGGAATTAATTTTGGTGGGGAAAGTTCTTTGTCCTAAATCACTATATATTTATATATACTGGTATATATATATATATATATATATATATATATATATACAGTCAAACTTGTCTATAGCGACCGCCTAAGGGAAACGCAAAAAGTGGTCTTTGTAGACAGGTGGTCTTTGTAGACAGGTTCCTTTAGTACATGTTTCAATGAGAAACCATTTTCAAGGGAAACAAAAAATGTGGTCCTTGTAGACTGGTGGTCTTTGTAGACAGGTGGTCACTAAAGCAGGTTTGACTGTATATATATATATAATAATTTTGATTTATTATTATTTATTTATTGGTTGAAGCCAATATAATGCAAATGAGGCGATTTATAACCCTAGACTTTTAACCTCTCCTTTGCCAAGAGTACCAGGATTTCCATGAGTTTTGATTGACACATATTATAGACCTCCATTAACAAAAGGATGGCACTGTGTGTTGCAAATCTTCTTCACACACTAAACTATTTCATCATTTTCATGCCTTGAATTGACCTTATGGATACCCTGTTTTCACCTGTTCGTAGTTGTGAAATACAGGAAATTTAGAAATAAACTAAAATCCATTGCTAACCCATTTAGAAATACAATGTGTCAAGGGGATATTGTTTTTTATCGGTATGTAAAGGGTTAAATATGTTTATAATGATGACGTTCTACTTGTCTTGCCCATAATAATTTAAATAAATTCTCTATGTACTTTACATTAAAGGCATTGTTTAACAATGTAAAATCTGAGACGTGTTATCAGCGCCTGTGATATGGTGTAATATCGAAGCCCTAATAAAATTGCGCTTCAAAATGATCACTAAGGGTGGTATTCTCGAAAGCGGCCTAAGTTAAACCTGGCCTAAGTTAAACCGTGGTTTAGTTAGGCCAGGCTTAACTTAGGCCGCTGACCTAAGTCATTTTCATTTCTCGAAAGGTGGCCTAACTGATCCATGGTTTAAACCTGGCCTAACTTAGTCCATGGATTATTCACCATGGTTACGGTTTCTGCACATGCTCAGTACCGAAGCTGCGACGTCACAATGCACTAAGACAATGGATGCGCGCAGTGTGGAGAGGATGCATCACCTCGATAACTTGAGCAATATGACGTCACAATGCACTAAGACAATGGGCTAAGACAATAGATGCGCGCAGTGTAGAGAGGATGCATCACTTTGACAACTTGAGCAATATGACGTCCAGGGGCGGCAGAGCGACTTCCAAAGCGGGGGGCAGCACCAACTAAAAGGGCACTTGCTGGAATTGTATCATTGTTAAAAGGGAAATTATCAGAGGTGAAAAGGGTCACATATCACACCTGAAAAGGGGCATTGAACATATTTTAAAAGGGGCACTTATGAGAATGAAAAAGAGGCACTTAAAAAAAAAGGAAATGTGCATTTGTTGATAATAGGGGCACCTCTCAAATTTTAATAGGGCAATTATCAGAGGTGAAGGGGCACTTCTTAAAAGTGAAAAAGGGGCACTTATTGCAAAGGAAAATGGAAACTTGTCAAAGGAAAAGGGGTGCGTGTCAAAATTAAAGGGGCACTTATCAGAGGTGAAAAGGGGAAGGGGCACTTCTTACAAAGTTAAAAGGGAACTTTCCTATATAAAAAGGGGCATTTGAAAAAGGGGGCACTGTACCCCCCAACTCTTTCTCCCTATCTCCATCTCTCTCTCTCTCTCTCTCTCTCTCTCACACACACACTATCTCACATCATTGTTTATTTCTCCCACCATTAAATTGTTCTTTCTCATTTGGTTCCCTTTCTCTTTTACTCTATCTCTCTCTCTCTCCCTCTCTGTTCTCTCACTGTTCTTTTTCAAGACTTTTCCATGTATAATTCAATGAACCCAACAGTATGCAGACTTAAAATCAAAAGATATGAAAGGAATATTGTATATAACATATCAACAATTATGTTTAATTTATTTATTTTTCTTAAAACAGAAAAGATTGTAATTCACAATGAATACGATTATAAAATTGAAGGTCAAATATAAAGCTCCAATAGCCTCATAATCTGCTACTTGAAACTATTAGAATTAAATGTTATGTATTTGTTTCATTACTTTTTCCCATTTTTGTTAAAACAAAGCATAGTCTACTTTTGAGCCGTGTTTCATGACTTGCACTATATTATAAAACACATCATGAAACATGATTTCTTAAATGATTCTAAATCACAATTTTTCCAGTGAAACAATGAACATCTGATGTACATAAAAACATCCTTATAAGTGATGGTTGCTTTGTGGTTCACATACACAACAAGGACATATCAGGCTTTTTATCAATGGTTGCTTGTTTGTTACCATAGCTTCATGTTATGAGGATTATAATACAAAGGTTTTGATCCCCATGCAGTCACAGTTACAGCAGATGGAGTCTGGTTCATTGAAGAGGCTAAGTAGAACTTCATAGTCCTTGCAAGTATGTCTGTTGAATGAAAAGAGAAAAGAATGAAAGGAAGCACATTGAAACCTATTTCTGTTAAACATTAAAAAGGTCTTGCATGTACATTGTGGTAAAAGTGGAGTACATAATCAATTACATGAAAGTATTGATTGAAAAATGTGAATGAACAAATGCCATCCTTGAAGTACCTGGGCATACAAACAACAACTTATTCGTACAGCCTACCTGTCAGATATTCAGCAGCTCAGTAGTTCTCCTTCCTCTCTCTGAATTTGTCTCAGTTATCAGGGAATTTGATTTCATTTATTTTACTGAAGAAAAACATCATCCTGAAACAAAAATAAAAAGGTTTATACCTCATTAAAATATCAAAGATCTACTCCATTGATAATTGGTCTTAGTTATAGTGTCAATCATATTCTAACTTTAAAAAAAACTTAAGGCGCCTTTCATGTAGGCAGTGACTAGGCACCCCCTCCCCACTCAGTTACTAGTAATCATTGATTTACAGAATGACTACCGGTTTCTCTTTTAAAGTCAAGAACAAACATACACATTCTTGCAGTACTATCTCATACATATGCTTGCACCAAGTTGTACTTGCCATGTCATGGCCTAAGAAAGCCCTAAGTAGTTAAAGTCTATAGCCAAGTTAGTCCCTTCCCTAAAATCAAGTCTAGAGGTCTACATCTTACTTAGATAACCAGCCGACAGTTGGCCTAACCTAGATGTAAACGTAGCCTGGAATGGAGATTTTACAAGGCCCTAATCGTTAGAGCCCAACTTTTCCATTTTAGTTCTAGCATTAGACCAAAGATTGTCTTTGTTTATGTTATCTCCCAAAATGAGCTTCGTAAAAGGGAAAAAGTAAAATGAAAATTTACTGCACTATACTGTACTGCAGTTTGTAGGTCTCTAAGTCTTATATGGTCCATAATTGTTGAATTTTCTTCTGACCCAAATTTGAAAGTAATTAATCAACTGTTGATTATTTGTGTCTTATTTTCAGATAGTTCCGCCCAGAAGTCTAGGCCAAGCTGTCACTGTCAGGAGTGACTGGTAGCCATGGCAATCGAGCTGAAAATATTAGCTCATGCCGATTTCAAATGAATAAAAGTTTGAGTGTAGATTGCACCTACATTCATCAGACAAAACAATTTTAAATCACTTCATAATGTACCTGTAGACACATCTGCAGATTCATAAAATCAGCAGATCTGTTTAATAAAAATTGTATAAACATGATTTAGTTTACAAGATTTAGGCGTAATTACAGCTTTACTCACCAGCAGACTTTCCAAGAAAAATGGAGTATCTATTTTTCCTGTTCAGGAAATAACTGGTGTTTGGCCAACTGGCTTGGAGACGCCTATGTGGGTGCAATCAATAGCACCGACGATATTAACGCCAGGGAAATGGCAGTAATTATAAAATTCATGTTGGGTCTGCACTCTGCAGGACTGCCTCTCTTGTTGAAGGAATTGAGATGTATTGCTCCCATCTCCTGGCAATGGCTATTGAGATGGACTTCACAAGGCGGGACACCGTAGCTTGGGAGAGGCCTTCTTTTTTCATCCCCATGCATCAATTGAAAAGAACCTGAAATAGCAGAAAATCAAGATGAAAAATATGTTGATATTTGATAAGATATTATAATTTCTCTTTCTTTGTAGTTTACTAACTAATAGTATTATTAGACTAAACTACTGTAACATTATCAACAAATGTATGTCAAAAAAAGGAAGCTTCTGTCCATTTCCTTTCAATTTCTATTAGACCTGTCTAGACTAGACTCTTATTGATGAAATTTAGATCTAGGTCTAGTAATATTGTTTTAAAAAAAAATGTTTTTCTTGGGGGGGGGGGGTGGTTCTGAAAATCATCATCGTCCTGTAAAAAATTATTGCACCAACAGCCACTACTAGCACTGCAGCTCAGGCAGAGGTGATACCAGACCGAAATTTCTGTCTCTTCAATCGTTAGCCTCTGATTTGGGTAGGGTCGGCTCCTGAAAGAGAGGAGCCGATGTTATGTTTAAAAACAGGTTCATTGAAACTAACATGCAATTGAAATTAACATGCCACTTAGAAATGCACTGCAGCTGTTAAGGCACAGTTCATTGTTATTCATATTAGATGCATACACACAATGAATGTATGCAAGGTCCTCTGTTCACTACATTATACATGTAAAAGCACATGGATATTGAGTCTGGATAAACTACCAAAGCAACCACACGTGCTTCTGAAAGCTCCATTTTGTTTGTCTCTATACTTGCATTTATTTAGCTTAATAGTTATTACTTTCCAACCCACAACACAACAGCCGACACTACCCAAATCAGAGGCTAACGAACGAAAGAGACTGCATGCTAGTCCACTTTTGGGCAACAGCGTCTCAAAAATCCACTATAAAAGTAGTTTCTACGTCTAGCAATGATAGTTTTAAGGTGGTGTTAAGGTGGTATATGCGTACGAAAGTACAATAGTGCCAAGAAAAAAATTACCCGGTAAGAAATTGCTCAATCTCAGGAAACGAAAATGTTAACCGACAATTATTTGCACGTATGGGACTGGTCTGCGAACACCATGAAACTTTACCAAGTTTCCCCAAAATGTATTCAGTTAAAAGCATTTTAGATTATCACCAGTACAGCAACATGAAAGTAACAAAAATACTTTATTAGCTGGTGTAACTTTCATGAGCGCTTATCCATACAAAAGAGTGTAAATTGTTATCAAATATAGAAATTCAAATGCAAAACTTACCGTTCACTCTCCGCGGACAGTCGATTTAACTAAAAAGTGACGTCACGTGAAGTTAGGCCGAACTATGACGTATTTAAACCTGCCCTCTGAGCGGCCTAAAGTTAGGCCGAACTATGACGTATTTAAGCCTGGCTTATCTTTAGGCCACCTTCGAGAATAGGAAAAAAGATAGTCCATGGTTTAAACCAGGTTTAGGCCACTGATTTAACTTAGGCCGCTTTCGAGAATACCACCCTAAGTGCCTCAAAAAAGTAAAAATCTTTGAGTGACCAGTTTTACCATACTCATTTTCCTCAATAGACTAGTGTTATAAACACCACTGGGAAAACCTTTTTTGGAATTTCAAATTCCAATCATAAATATCTTGAAAATCAGACTGGTGATTGGCTTTTAAACGTCATGGGATTCCTGACTGACCCAAAGGTTTACAATTATGATTGCAGCATGAGCTAAATCCAGGATTTTCTTAAGAATCTGAGACCCAATCCCTATAAGAAGATTAGTTAACATACATATAGAGAAAAATACAACACTACTGTAAGATGAGACGGGTCGTCAGGCTTCCTTAAATGTGTTAATACAGGGATACAAATCTGCATTGATATTCCTTAATGTCCTTCTGTTTTTTTCAGGAATAAAGAACAGTCTTTACCCAATGTCTGAATAACATGTTGGAAATTAATGACATTTTTTGCAAAAGATGCTGGGTGTATTTTTTTTTTTAGCTCACCCGAGCCAGTCACCCCTAAACTTTTTACATTTTCAACTTCTTCTTTGTTTTTAACAAAACGTTCTAGGAATTATCGTTAGGCAAGGGAGATTTAAAACTATTCAAATTGGGTATGTACCCCCAGGGTGGCCTTGGGGGTAGCGCCGCCCAAGTTCCTCGGCGACAGTATCTGCACATTTCTTCTTCTTGAAAACCCACGTCTGAATTTTAACCAAAATTTGTAGGAATCACCTGCAAGAGAGGGAGATCTCTAGTTGTTTAATTAGGGTATATGCCCTCCAAAGGGGCTTGGAGGCAGCCTTTAATATCCACCATTCAAACAGCACTACTAGCATGGCAAACTTTAAAATGTAGACATGCTTGCCTCTTGAAAACTGTCGAAAAATGGTTTTAAGAATTGTTCCGTTTGAATGAAGGATATCTCTTTAAAATACCTGGTTACCCTCATTTCTTATTTCATACTCTGATAGATCATGAAGTATTGATATGATTTCATACCAGGGGGTGTTTCACAAAGATCCAAATTAAAACTTAACTCCAAGTTAGACTTAAAAATTATGGAGATCCATTTGTAGCCTAAAAAGACAATATATATTCAAAAGCGAATATTCAAGTATTTTAGACTTTTTATAAATTCCACATCAAGAACATGAAATCTCCTTGATAATAAACAATAAGAATGATTTGAATCAACATTTAATACCTTTTAAAATATTTTTTACAAAATATTTTCATTGATGCTAATGGCTTTCCATAATTGTTAAGTCCAACTTAGAGATAAGTTTAACTTAGGATCTTTGTGAAACACCCCTCAGGATACCTAACTTGACCTACTGTTCCAATAAATCATATGTTTCTGGTGCGAAGGGGGTGGGAGCTAGGTCCCTTGATGCGAGGCCCCAACTTTCATCGGCTCATGTGAGTGAGCTCTAGATCAGCGACCCCTAGATGTTCTTTTATAATGAAAAATTTAAAATAAAATACACCCTGCATCTTATAAAAATATTCACAAGGGAATTAATGGTGTGAATTTTGATGCTGGGTGTACTCTTTTATTACCGTTTTGTTCTTTTGTATGTGTTTTTTCAATGCCAGTATACTGTAGGTAGTATCCTGTGGGGTGTTTCACAAAGATCCTAAGTTGAACTTAACAATTATGGAAAGCCGTTAGCATCCATGAAAATGTTTTGTAAAGGTTATTTTAAAAGGCATAAACTGTTGATTCAAAGCATTCATATTTTATGTTATCAGCGGAGATTTCATGTTCTTGATGGGGAATTTATATAAAGCCTGAAATACTGGAATGAATTTTTGCTTTTGAATATATTTTATTTTATTTTAAGGCTACAAATGGCTCTCCATAATTTTAAGTCCACCTTGGGGATAAATTCAACTTACGATCTTTGTGAAACACCCTCCTGATATAACAAGATTTCAATAACCCTTTGGCAACAATCATTCAACATTTTGTGGTTTGGCTCAGAAACATTTTATTCTGGGCCCTAAAAAAACATGCCAGATGCATGAGTGGAGAGGGCAAAAAATTTTGTACAAATTGCATCCAGTTTTGTTTCATGACTATATTGTGTTTGATGCTGGGAAATTTTGAAATGAATTAAGCTTTATAATCCTTAAATTGACAATATGTTGAGAGGTTCAAAATAATTGTTTTTCAATCAAAGTTTGCTCTTGTTTAACTTTTTGACAATATTCACTCCTGTTTGATGTTATCTGTTGTTTTTAGAGACATTGCATTTCAATTTGTTAAACAATGCAGCAATGAAAATAAAAATGTTATTTTTGAAAATTAGCCCTTGTTCAACTTTTTGGCAATATTCACACCTGTTTGATGTTATCTATTGTTTTTAGAGACATTGCATTTCAATTTGTTAAACAATGCAGCAATAAAAGAAAAATGTTATTTTTGCCAATTTGAAGAGCAATGTGTGATCAATTTAGCCCTTAAAATAAGTCCTGTCTTGAAAGAGATAAAACAAGGCAATTTCCCTTTTCTCAAGGATTTTGTTTATGAGGTTCCACTGTAATAATTGAAATTAATAATAATAATAATAATAATGCAGACATTTATAAATCATGTACAATATATACACCCAGATAGTACTTGTGGCGCTTACAATTGACAGATTCAATGACAATAATACTCCTAAAGTGCTTCTTATGAAATTATACAACATACGGTATATACAGTAGGTTTGCGGGTGCACCATGTGAGAGAGAGAGAGAGAGAGAGAGAGAGAGGGTTTTGGAGTCCTGAGAAGGACTCCCGACTCGGTAATCTTTCTTGGGGGTGTGTAGTCCTGAAAAGGACTGTTGTTATCTTTCTTGGCATATAGTTCTAAGGAGAACTATAGCGCTTGGAGAAGATGAGTGGCTCGATGTTTCGAACAGGTCGACTATCCGTCGCCAGGACTCCTCAACCCTCTCTCTCTCTCTCACATGGTGCACCCGCAAACCTACTGTATATCTACATCACCATGCAAGTCGACACTTACAAGCAGCATCTACCATACGGTATGTTGTATAATTTTATAAGAAGCTCTTGAGGTATGGTACCATAACACTTGTCATAAGGTGTGTTTTCAGTTTTTCTCTCAAAGTCTTCTACAGTCTCGCAATCCTCCACTGAATTTGGGAGTCTGTTCCACACCCAGGGAGCTGCTGTCTTAAATCTCCCAATGATCATTTTGTTTTGGGGACAAGTCGGGTAGATTCGTTAGACAAGCAGAGACCATTATGGTTTGTGAAGGTTGACAAGAGAAGAGATGTATTGTGGTGAGGAGAATTTCAAAGCCTTGTACAGTCAAACCTGCCTTGGCGACCAGTCGATCACCTGCTTTAGTGACCACCTGTCTATAAAGACCACATTTTTTGTTTTCCTTGAAAATGGTTTCTCATTGAAACATGTACTAAATGAACCTGTCTACAAAGACCACCTGTCTACAAAGGCCACTGTTTCTGTTTCCCTTGGATGGTTGCTATAGACAGGTTTGACTGTACATGAATGTGTAAATGTAATGAGAGAGAAATGAGAGAGAAAAGAAAGTAACTTGAATAAAAATGACAACCAAAACAAGCTGTAGTTGGAATATAGACGTACATGTATTTAATATATAACAAATACATAACGCTTTTCTCAATAATATATATAACAATATCTGTAAAACAATACACGGCTGCAGCGACCCATCACCTCGACATGTAATCACAAAAATGCAAGAAAATCAACAAATACAACTTACATAATTTATCAAAATTGTTTTGAGTGATTTCTAAACCTTAAGGGCAGCTTGGGGGGGGGGGGGGGGGGGCCGGGGCTTGCCTGATGTTTTGAACAGTCGACAACCATCGTTTGAATAACGAGGTTTTTTTTTTTAAGAAAACAAATATTAAAAAATATCTTCATTTTTCTAATTTGTTATCTTTAAAGGTAGGGTATCCCTTTTGCAGCCAACATCAAAGTCTGTAGAACTTTGCAGGAATTATGAATATGTCATGTATGTCCTATCTGTGAAATTTAAACGTTGGCAGTGTCCTAGTATTCAAATTAGGCAAGAAAACCTGTTTTCTTTCTAGACTGTCGGACATAATGTTGTAATATTAACGAATATGATGGAAATGGAATGACCCTAAAAAAAAAAAGATTTTGGAAGTACCCGGTAGCCAAAATTCCAAAAAGTTTAGTATCATTCAATTAATATCCAATTTATATTGTAAATATCTTTTAAAAGAGTATATCATGTTTGCACATTCTTGAAAATTATTTTCTACTCAATTTCAAGAACCTTCCAAATTAAAGATAAACTTGAGTTCTGGTGATGCGATTGCATTGTGAAAGAAAAGGTGTGGAATGGATCAGAAAAGTTGATCATATAGCATGTAAGTAATGGTGTGTAATGCAAGGCTCTGGAGTCATCAAAATCATCAGAAATTTGGCAGATTCTTGGTAAAGTAACAATCACTTACACAGAAAGATGTATATGGGACAACACAGATGGTGTCGGGGTTAGTACTACCCTGATTTCCTCATCTTTCTATGCTCATTTCTAAGCCAGTATACATTTTCTTCCAAAATTGTTTGGCACATGACATTTATTTGTAATCTTGAACATTCAGTGTAAGTTTCGTTAGATTCTGTGAGAATTCATTTTCTTTTTTTACCAGAACTCAAGTTTATCTTTAAGCGAAACCTGCAGCTGCGACCACCTGCATAGAGAGACTACCTGTCTATAAAGACCACATTTTCCATAAAATGGCTTCTCATTGAAACCTATGTATTACACCTGTACCTGCTATTTAAAAAAATATAACTTTCTTTACACGTCTGAATAAATTTTAACTAAATGGTTTGTAATTTTTTATGATATACATATTTTCAATTTGTGTAATTCATGTGCAATTCAGTTGAGAGATTGCCATTTATGAAAGATGCAATAAAATACAATTTATCTATCTATA